AGACCGAGAATAGGCTACACGGTGTCTGATATATTATTATATATATTCCGTCTAATGTATCTACACGTTGCAGTTTCGTGAACCGGTGAACTCGATTTGGCGAGGTAAAATGTGCAACGTCGCGACTACGACTCCGCACCGATCAACTTTTTACATAATGTAAATAAATATACGAATATTCGAGCTACGCATATAGCGTTCAAGCCTTGCATCATTATTTTATCGCGTAAATTTTCGAACTACGTGCAAACCCTCGTGCACTCCATATATACACATACAGACGCAGTTTTTTTGTACGCATCCTTTTGAAGGGTCATCGGGTTAAACCGAGCGCGAGCATACGAGAGAGAGAGAGACAAGGGTCGCAGCACGTGCTTGACTGCGCGCGACTCGCACGAGCTTTTAGCCGAAGATAAAAGGATGTACGTCGGAAGAAAAGCGACGAGGCAAAAAAGCCTCGTCGGTCGTCGGTCGATGAATGTACGCGCAAGGACGACGACATCCCTCTTCTTCATCGGGAGCTTTCCCCCTTGCGTATATGCGTGCAGCAGCGAGCCTCGAACTCGAGACGGCGCGTTTAGCGAATATAAACACTCGCGTGCGCGCCGTATTTTCAATTATAAGAATGAATGAATTTAAATTGGGGATAAAAAAAATTTGCGAGGAGTGATATGTTATAACGGTGCTTTGTATTTTATACAATTATTTTGACTTTGCGATTTGCAGATTTGTTATGAGATAAGATTGTGTGATGAGATAAGTTTGGACTTTCCACACCATGATTTGACTTATACGATTATTTGTACTTTGCCACTTGCAGATTTACAGAGAAAAGTTACTCGCCATCTAGTGGTGGAAGCTTAAATTATCCCAGTCCAAAACGGCTATGAGAACCGGCCCGAATGTGTTGAAAGGATATAGTAATACATTTTAAAACGTTCCAAATCGACGTACTCAATGTGAATGGATGTTGAGAATCGATCGTAGAACGCAAACGAAAATCTGGTTGCAAGAGAATCATATATATCGGGTCAATTGAAAATTATGATCTGCTTTTCGGACGCAGACGATCGTGTATAAAAAAAAAAGAAGAAGTTCGGTCGCGCTGAAGCGAAATAGGAGAGAAGAGGTCATCGAACGTGCGCGCCTCGTTCGAATTACCAATGTATAACATCTTGGCAAGGCGCATGGACTAGCTGCTCTCGCAGGCCAGAAAGATAGACACACATATATATAAGAGCTCGTCGCGATACGGCAGCCATCGTCTCGACGGTCCATTATACGAAACTAATAGAGAATATACAACGTAATAAATATAGCCAGGCGTCGATAACGCGAATCTAAGTTCAAAATTGTGCATCGACTCGAATGTCACGCGTGCATATACTCGTGAAAGTCGAAAGAGCAGCAGCAGCGACTTTTTTGCCGCATTCCGTAACACTACAGCGCAGCATCTTGCACCTAGAGAGAGAGAGAGAGAGAGATACCACGTCGATTTCATTGATTTCTGCTACAGCTCTCAGCCATGCGGATCATACGAGTGTCTCTGCGTCACGTGTGCAGCGCTTTCATTACTGCTTTCGCGATCCTCCGTCAATACCTATATAATTGTTGCGGCGCGCGCGATACATAGTCGAAGTCAACGAGCGAGTTTCAACTTTGCCCGTAGCAGAGCTTCGTGACTTTTCCTTTCGTACGTATTATTATTATACACCGGTGTAAACGATCTATCGCCGAGTGCTCAAAAAGACGACCAAGTTTCTCGAGCTAATATTTGATCGAAAAACAATCCACGCGTCGTTCGCTAATTGCGCGCGAGCCTATATACACATGCGAACGAGAGTATAACACAATTGCACAACTCCACTCGACGACTGCATAAGAAGAAACCACCCACGCCTATGTACATGCGCTAACTCGAAGTTTCTCTTGGTTGCTGCAGCTCTCTGCGATATGTACATACGCCTAGTCGGCAGTTCAACGAGCTTAATGTATTCCGACGCTTCTGCGCTGTGTAATTACACGCGAAAGAAAAAAAAGGAGTAGAGGAGATAAAAAGTCCATCGATTGATAGGTGTAGATTTCCACTCAAAGTTCCTAGCGAGCAATTAAAGCGTCTCGAGTGAAACACATGCATCGCATTCGCATTTCATCTATAAGTACACACGTGTGCGCATTATATTATCTCGATTAGTTCGCGTACTATAGCCTAGTTAAATATCGCACTGCGTTACATCGCATATAATAAAGCACATTCATTCGTTAACCGAATAATATCGCATGATACACGATGAATATATAATAAAATCCGCAGCACGTTTTACCGTGTAAAATGATATTCGAGCGTCGACACGAACACAAGTCCGCTTAAGCGATTCGATGTACCTAAAAAACTTTTTCATCGCTCCGTACTGCGATGTAATAATAATTTCATACGTAATATTAATAGCGAATCGACGCGCCGTCGAGCTTTTTGCAAAGTTTATAAACACGCTCTCCTTTACCTGCATTAGCGATCGCAATGTAATAACGACAAAGCCGCGCACAAAGTTTATCGTGCTCGGTTTTCGAGCGTCAATTAAGAGAGCCTCGGCGAAGTGCGAAATAATCGAATCTGTCGTGCGCACGAATTTCATTATCATTATATTATATATTTCTTCGTTCTCAACGTTTATTGGTCGCGAGGCTTCGTTAACGATAAATCAGATGAAAAGAAAAGAAGAAAAGCAGTCCGTGCTACGCAGGCGTGGTACCCTGACGGACGAGCAACAGATAAACTATACGCACCGCTGATAATTCACGAACGCCGAGAGCGTCATTACGACATACTCTCGTAACGTACATGCAATTTGCACGACAACAACGCGACACATATAATATAGATGCAAAAAGTCGACCTCGCGTTGTTGTTGTTGTTTTTTTTTTTGTTCGGCGTCGATAGATACGCAGCATCTTTCCCTCTGCTCTGTTTTACCGCACTGCATGCGCGGATATGTACCTCTCCGTACACACGACATTTCCAGAATCTCTTCATCGATCGTCGTCGCGTCGCTCGCTCCAGCATCCCCCGTTTGCGTGCGTATATATATATAGTACGTACGATGCGTATATACACGCTCGACGAGAGGACGAGAGAAGAAAGAGACGAAGAGCTTGCGAGGGGTTATGTCGGTGGCGTGGATTCAGGATCTTGCAGGATCGAAACAATGTATTTTTAGCGAGAAAAAATTACGAGCTTCAAGTCCCGACAGCGACTTCGACATCCAACTTCTCGTTCGGTTATGTTTTTCACAATACGTTTTCTAGCGCAGCGCGTCGAGTCTTTGACTCGCTCTAACGAGCGCCCAATTCGAAAATCTCGTCGTGGCTGCCAAAACGCCCTCCGATCGCAATAATAAAAGCTCACGAGCTTCGGCCGAAAATATAGCCCGACGCACAAAGCTCGCAGAGCGAGAGAACACCCGGGAGGACGAACGGGAGAGGGTGGCGCAAGCTCACCTGTTTGCGGCGAGTTGGAGCTTGCAGCAGCGAGCTTTGCGGCAGCCTCCCCCAGCTTCCGCTGCACGTCCGTCATTGCTCCGCTGCGTTGCGTACCACTCGCACTGGAAATACGAAAACTTTCGGACCTTTGTTTTGTTTTTTGTTTTTTTTTTTGTTTGGTATCCCGTCGCACAAAGTTGCCACACAGTTGATTCACCAAAAAAAAAAAGAAAAGTCGCTCAGCGTCGCGCACGACGATCGACTGCTGCGCTCTTCTGTAACGCCGTGCGTGTGTGGGTATTATTATTATTATTATTCTTATAATGTACGCTGCGCGCGCCAGGAACAAAGTATATACGTGCGCTGCAACGCGATTCTGCTGACTGACGAGGTACTGCTGCTGCTGCTGCTGCTGCTGCGGGCCCGGCTCTGTCTCTCTTTCTCTCTCTCTCGCTCTATCTCGCTCGCACTGCACCGCACACGGGTGTAGATACACTCTGTGTGCAAAGGTGTATGTATAGGTATATACAGGCGCGATATACGTAGGATAGGTGTGTATTATGAAGGCAGCGACGCCCGATACTACTTGGTCTTTTTCCCTCTCGCTCGCGCTGCGCATTGGATACTGCGCTCGTTTATTGCGAGCCTGTTTCTCGGCTACTTATATGTACTGCCTGCCGTTGTTGTTTGATGTTGTCATAATTGTTATTGATAGTAGACGTCGTCGTCGTTGTCGTTACTTGAATCGCAATGATCGTAATGAGTAGCCGGTAATTCCGACGCGCTACTGTCATTAACTTTAGCTACGTGTTATTATGTAAATTATTATTTAATAGATTGAAATGATATACCGACTCTGAAATGTTTTATTGAGTCATAGTTTCTCGAGAGTAGTAAGAAGTAGCGTAGATTTTCTTTCGGATAAGAACTGCGTATAGTCGAAGCAATTATTTTGAATGAAGTTCACCGTGGAGGTACTTGACTGCTGCGTTGAACTCGAGATGAAAGCTCCCTGCCGTATCGGCCTTCAAAAATGCCAGTCTCTGTTTTGCGACATCGCGTAAGCGCTCGCGAGGCAAACATCGAGTGGTATTACATTTTCTTTGCTTGCATTGGAAAAAAAAGAAAATGAATTTGTGAATAGGCAACCTTAAGCTAATCGCGAAAAAAGAATTTGCCTTCCACAGTAAGCTAGTTCATTATATATCTGAAGATCCAAATAATATTTTGATTAAAAAGTTAACATTTTTAAACTGAAGAATGAGCTAAAAAAAGCTCTTGCAGAAATGAGGGTAAATATCCAACAACAGCAATTTATAAATTATATCATATTTATATATTTTTTAATAACATTATCGTGCACTTTTTCAAGGTGCATTATTTTTGTATAGCCCATACACACGATTGTTCATAGTTTTCTTTCTTTTTCTGCATATCTTTGTGCGCATGTCAATGACATTGAATCTTGTATAGTGTCATATTATAATAAACTTAAATTATAAATCAAATAATACTCCGGGTGTTTTTTCCAGAATTTTATTATAAACATCGATTAATTATCGATATATATTTATATAGTAGATCATAATATGCGTGAGTCGATACAATAATAAGTTTGACAAATGAATGAATGAAAATTAAAGTAAGTGGTCAATGAAAATTAATTTAATTCGATGACACGTCGACAATGAAAAAAGTTTTCTCTTCATTGCCTCGGTCACGCGTAGTGGAAATGCTGTATATTTTCATATTATTATTTGGCTTTTGATTTCTTTTTTTTTCATAACATATACATAAATTTTGCTGATAAATAAATAATAACACTTGATTACTTAAAAACGAATAGAATTCTTGAGTGACGGCCGAACACCGATGGGGCGGCGTTCGACCGGTCAATTAAACAACGAAATAATAAATGACGATGATGAATATGGTAATAAACGATTTTTGTGTTTATTTTCTTTATTTTTTATTTTGTAATTGTGCTCCTCTCTTGATAGTCATAATGTCGCTCTCATACAAACGGTGTCAAGTGTGTTCTTATTCGGCTCCTTCTACGGCTCTTTCGCACAATCGTTTTAGGAACGCTGAAAATAGATATTTGACATAATATTAATACCCCATATTTCTGTGTGTATGCGTGACTATGGTCTCGCGACGTTTTTGCGTATGCTCGCAATTTTATTATAGAATCGTTGCGAGACACAATTGCATTATGCAAAAAAAAGAGAGACGAGCCACGATAAACGATTACAATTAAAAAAAAAAGCAGAATAGACATTGAAATGTTAGAACAAAGAGAAAAAAACATATATACGTATAAATGTAACATATAGGCACATGTATAACATCGAGAGACATTTAAAGACAGAGAGATATAAATATAAACGTATGAATGATATTTATAAATACTGAGAATGTGTAAATATAGAGATAGTTTTCGTTATAAGCGAGAGCGATTGAGGTCAGTTTTTTTGCGGGCTTTCCTCCTCTGCTGCTGCTGCTGCTGCTGCTGTGGCGATGTCGTGCTGCTCCTGTGTAAATATTTGCCAATTGGACAGAATAGACAAGAAGCCAAAAGCGCAAATTTTTTTATAATTTCGTCGTAACGCATTCTGCGAGACATTCAAATTTGAATACGCACAAGAGCGTAAAACTTCGAAAAAGCCAGAAAATAACAAACAAGAAGCGAAGCGATAGCAGCGTTTGTAAGGATAGAACTACTGGGGATTACTCACGGTTGAGGGCTCGATGACTTTTGGTTGATACGCTTATTTTTATCCAGCTTATGGTGCAGACATGAGTTTCTTTACGAAGGCTGTAAAAGTACAATCAGGGATGTCATAAACATGGGGTTCACTTGAAAATTAAAAAAAAAAAACTTAAGTCGCGATTTCGGGGTCTTGTTGTGTACGTGGGCGATCTCCTTTCCTTGAACTGTTTGAATTAGATTTTACAAAATACTTTTTACAAAATATTACATTACAGGATGATACAAAAAGTAATTTTCATGAGAGTTTTACAAACTAATAAATCTAGATTTTAAGTGGAAAAATTTAAGGCATGCACAATATTTAACAACAATTTATGAATAAATTATTCAACTTTTTTAAACTAAGGAAAAGTATCTACTTTTTTTTAAACATGTCGATGAATCAATCCATTATTTATCAATTACAAATAAATAGGTGAATTTTTAAAACGATGATAAATCGTAAACTATTATATACCAACTACCAACAATCTTCTAAACAATAAAAAAAATATGGGATACAACTATTAATCACTTTCATGGTCATCTATGTGAATAACGGATAAAGAAAAATGTAACATAGGGTCTACTTTTGACATTGAGGGTCAAAGGGATGTATATACCAAGATAATTATAATCGGGTACAACGGAGGGATGAAGAATCTCTACTCACGATCGTATTTGATGAAACCGTCCTCGTCTTCTTCTGGCATGCAATCTCTGGCGATGATTTCGACTTCTTGTTCGGTAAGACGTTCACCTAAAATGAAAAAAAACGAAAAAAAAAACGATAAGTAAAATTTTTCAATTTCATAAGACGATATCCGTATGAAAAAGTAAAGTTTGCTCACCAAGAGTTTGGAGTACGTGCGTCAATTCGGCGAGCAGCATGGTGCCGTTCTCCTGTTTGTCGTAGAGCTTGAGACACTCGATGAAGTCCTCGTAGCATCCCTGATCTTTGTCTTTCTTAACTTGGCTAAAGATTGGAAGGAACTCCTCGAGGGTCATGGTCTTCTCGCCGCGCTTTTTCGTGCCGCCCATCTTCTCGATGGTGGCGTTTGTTGGGTTGACATTGAGGGCGCGCAGTACGTTGCCGAGATCGAAGCAGTCGATGGAGTTCGAACCGTCGGCGTCGTAGATCGAGAAAGCGAATTCTGCCTCTGTGAGGAGCGAAGATGAAAATTATTAAATGATTAGACCAATTTCGGTAAAAATTAGAGAATATTGGAATTGTGTGCGATTGTTGCCCGTCGCCCCCCCCGAAAAAAGGTGTCTGTATAGGTGAGGCCACATGAGAATACAAAAATAACCGTCGTGCACATGTGTAACGCACCACTTATAGTCTCACCTTCTAAGCGATTTTCTACTATCTTAAAATAACTTTTGCGTCAACAGATATGGTTTGTGTATGAAATACGCTCGCGTAAACACGAGTATTTGAAAAAAATTCTGCTCCATTTTTCGGCCATAAACACGAGAGATTTTAATTTTCGGTTTGAAAAGCTCAACTTTTTCAACCCGGAATAAAAGTCCACAGTCGTAGATAATATATTATTTCGAAATAGATCGCAGCTATAATAGTTGGCAATGCCTCGCATTGAATCATCTCGATCTCGCAATATCCGATCGGCTGCCCGAAATATTACGCGATATAATTGTTTACAAACGCGCGTTTCAGGTACGATTTCGTAATTGGAAATGATACATCGAGAGACGTTTGAATTTTATTTTTTTTTCTTTCTCTGCTTCGAGTCATTGGATTTTAAAAGTCCGAGTATCGCAAGTGCGTGCAATTATTTTTAGCCAGTTCCGCCCCACCTAAAACCCCAGAAAACATTAGGCAGCGCGGAGCGGCACACTGGGTCATATAACCACCTAAGCTACCCATATAAGAGCGCAGCCGCCCGTCAGATATTTTTAACGCCGGAATTCGCTATTCCCCGATTGAAACCGTACCGCGCACCGACCGACCGACGAACGGGGCAAGAGAGAGCTTTTTGCGCGTAGCCGATTGCGCAATCGACGACGAGGTTTTTAATATTTTTCAGCTACGCACCACCCACTTCGATGCTTTGATTTTACTCTTTAAATTTCGTAAAAATTATTTTTAGACGATTGCATACTTGGGTTCCATTCTTGATTACATTCTACGAGTAAACTAAGCAACCCACAATATTATCGTCGTAATTTCGCGAGCACAATAAATAGATTTGAATGTATGAATATCATTGACCGAATATAAACACTCTCATCAATTTTAAAAGTTATATAATACTAGTACATGTGAACGAATTTTTGAAAATATCAAAATATACTCGAGGCCATGTATTATCAAATTTATCTCCAGTTATTTGAGACTTTACTCAAAACGTTGTAAAATCAAAAATAAACAAAAATTTTTATTTCTTAGGACTCGAAATTTAGATACCAAAAAAGCTCTGAATATCTTTGAAAAAAATTCTACTTCTTCGTACGCGCACTTGATTTTTGTTCTCTCCTAACAGTAGCACTTTGACTTTTAAATCACCAGAAAAAAAGCTTTTCTCGAGCAATATGTAATCGTCTCAAAAAAACGATCCTCATAGATCACAAATTTTTTTCACTCGATGCATCCGTCGAACGAGATCGAGAAGAAGAACAGCGATTGCGACTGCAAACGTAAGATGAGAAAGATCACTTGCACTTTTTTTCGTATTATTTCGGTACAACAAGCTACCCTTTTTTCGTGTATAAAACTCTCTTTCTCTCTCTCTCTCTCTCTTTTGTGCGAAATATTTTCCATGAATCGGTACTCACTTTCAACTTCCTTGGGTGAGAGATCAGCCTGAAAAATATCGAAAACGAGTATTTTTTTAGTTACTTTTTATTGCCAGAGAATTGAGAAAATTAATACGTTGTCGAGTTTTAGCGAAAGAAGAGAAAAGAATTCTGGAAGCCAAGACTCACCATGATGTCTGCTGTGTGTGTGTGTGTGTTCTGTCTGGTAACTGGATGTACACCCAACTGAGCTGGAACGAGAAGTGCCGAGCAGCAAAAAGCTCACCCGATCGCGCTTATTTGTATCGTCGCACGAGATGGCGCTCCGTACGCGCCGAGCTTTTTAGCAGGAATATATCTTGAGAAGCTATCGGCTACGACTGGCGATCGCTCGCTTACAACACACACCGAAGAGAGAAACTCCCGGGCAGACGGAAAAGCCGCGCGCTTGATTCTTATTCTCGTTGATTGTATAAATATAAACGCAAACGCCCAACGTAGTCGACGTCGTCGTCGTCGTCGTAGTCGTAGCCGTGTAAACGTTCCAAAAATTGCCTTGAGAAACCTTGCTTGCCGCGTGCGTGCGAGAGTGAATGCGTGTGTGGGACTCGAAACTATTTTTCTTGCCGTCGATAAATAATAATAACCGCAAGAGAGAGACCCATACTCGCGCTCAGCTGATTCTAAAACGGTATTGTAATGTAAAGAGTGAGAAAAGAGAGAATGAAACGCGCGAATTTTCGGGGGGGGGCTTATTTTCAACAATTATTCCGGTGCTTAGAGTTAACCTTGACCCACTTTCGAATTAAATGCGCGATTGTAGTATTCAACCTCTTGGAACTGTTTAATTACTGCCCTCGTGATGTTTTCCGAATCATTTGTTAATTTTGATTAAAAAAATGTAGAATGAAAATCGGTAATTCTATTCTTATATCGGTCAAAAGTTCTCCGCCCACGCATCTGACCTGAGAATTCCTCAGCTTTTACTCATTTTAACTAATACTCGACAAAATTTCGCACAAATGCACATAATTTATAATCAGTCTTTTCTTGAATAGATAATCAAACTTCTAATCAAAAAATACCGATCAAATCACGCTTTAGTCACCGATTATCGGAAATTGATTAGAAATTGCCATTTCATTTACAAATTGTACAATCATCTATGTGTATTAATTTATATCTCAAAAATATTCGAATCGCCAAACGAGCTCGACTTTGAAAAAAAAATGGGCTTTGCGCGTCTATTTTTAGGGCGCACATCATCTATTTCCGTGTTCACGAAAGAGCGAACTATCCGAATAGCGAAATTTCTGCTGGTGATTGTTTATTATCAAACATTGTTTTATTTTCTGAACTTTCGAACCGGCTTATCCGTAGCAGCACCATCATCGTGTCAGCGCAAAAAAAATTTTTCTCTCATTTCTTCATATTGACCTCGATCAAGTTTAAACAGTGGCATCCGCTCTTTTCTATTTATGGTATACGTGTTATTTCAGTGAAGTAATTTGACTGACAATCAGTGTTACCGAAATCTTTGACAAATATATGTACGTTGATGTGAGAGATATAGGTGCTTGGTCGATGGAGTGTATTCACTTGAAAAATGTCTTTATTGATCAAATCTCTGATTTTTATTTTATTCTTACAAAATCAATAATTATGACTAAAAATGTAATTCGTTATAAAAATAATTTTTGCGTTTTCTAATCGCTATATACTTTTATTTAAAATTGTACAAAAAATCACCTAATATTAACACAGCTGTACACGTCACGTTTTTTTACTACGCTAATAAAAAATAATAACGTTACGTACAAAAGTTATGAAACGCTCGTTTTGACGAATTAACTTTTTTTTTCGACCGAGAAATACTTTTCAAGTTTCGATGAAAATTTTATAACCGCGTGAAATAAAGACTTTACAAATGAGATTCTTTTCATTCGTTTATGACTGTGTTTTTGGTGCATTGATTCGCGTTCTTGGCGTAAGTCAATTTCTTTTTTTTGCTGCACGAGCCCGCGAGTACACCTGTGCAGTTGATCATTTTGAACGATTTGTCCAAGCACAAGTGCACTTCGTTGACGTATTGTTTTCCCGTTGTCTAGAAAAAAAAAGTGATGAAACTCGAAGCTTTTATCTTGCGATTCGCTCAAAAAGTTGAATAATTATATATAAAATGCTTACGGGACTTTTGGCGCACTTGATTTTCGCTTGAGCGCCGTAAGCCTTGACGATCGCATCGTTGAACTCATCGAAATCGTAATGATTGCCGGGCACTACGCCCTGCTTCTCGAGACGATGGCCGACGTTGAATCGCTTCAGGAGCTCGATCGTCCGCTGGAAGTAATTGCGCATGCCGCTGAGCTCGTCCACCCGCATGGCGCACGTGCCGTGCTTCTCCCACTCGTGACGCCAGAAATCGTCCTTGTAGGCGGCCCTCTTCAGATCGGTCCAGTGGTACTCAAGCTGGGCTCGCAGCCCGGCGTCCAGCTGCTCCGCGTCGAAGCGCGCCGTGCGATTGCAGTTGCCCAGGAAGCGGTCCGAGTAGAGATTGCTCGGCCACAGTCCGTGCACGGTCCAGTCCAGGTCGTTCCGCGCCCAGCTGCTGGCGCACGGGCTGCAGCTGCTGTTCTCGGCCTTCCACAGATTGTTCACCTTGTAGCATTGCACCTGTGGCACGACCTGCGCCAGCACGTAGTAATCGAAATCGGTATCGACGATCGTCGCGTCCGCGCCGGCCGGCAGCTTGGGTTTGCGGTACTTTTTGCTGCGTCGAGAGTGGAGTAGTTATGAAAAAAATGAGGTATAGCGGATTCAAAAAATCCTGGGTGGCACTTACGGCAACGAGTCGACCGCGGCGACGAGCAGCGTCAGCAGCGCGGCTATCGACAGTATCGCACGCAACGACATTTCGTATATATAACGATACAATATAGTACACGATTCACCTGCCTCGTAATACTGACTGTGCTGTACGATCGAGCCGCTCAAATTTATACACTTTTATTTTTATTCTTTCTTCTCATTATCTGAGTTGTAATAGCAATTTCATTGCGATATCGTGAACTATTGAAGAATGAAATTGTAATCGGATCAAAATTTATTATATATTCGCTTCTATGTTTTTTGAACTTTTACGTCCTTGTTATGATTCGGTGTGTTCGACGCGTGCACGCACATACGGACGATATTTTGACTGCAGCTCGTCTTTTCGACAAGTGTATAAAATCATTATCGATCGAAAAGGTAATCAATTAGAACAGCCGATTGACATCTTCATTGTTTTGTTTTCGTCACGAAAATTTGGGCGAGATAACAGATCTGCACTTATTGTTTCAGCGGTTTGAAGGCAGCCAAAATCGATATCGTTTCTCCAAAATATTTTCAAATTCAGCGACTGAATACTTCCGATCGGAAGTATCAGATTTTGACGAAAATAAAAATCATAAACAAACAGTTCCGTGCTAATCTTTAAAAAAAAACGCGATCTTCAAATATAAACTTATGAAAAAAGATTCATTTTGCAACTGCGCTCAAATCCCTCTTTGATGTGTCCGGCAAAGGTACATTGGTTGGCTAAATCACAAAGAACTTTTTATTATTAATCATAATTGACTAGAAAGTAATCTGCGCTTGAATAAAATACTTCGTGCTGTTTTTAAATTTTTTATCAGAATATCACGGATGAAAATTGAGTTCACTGCTCCTTCATTTTCGCTCAACTTGAAAATAATTTTTTACGTAAAATCAAGATTTAAACATGTCCGGCTTAGACAAAGAATTTTTTGGTGTACAAATAATCGTTGATATTATACATTGAACGAATATACAAACATATGTTATTTATTTCCGTACCTAACTTGCTAAAGTCATAGGCTAGTCAAGTATCACAACAAAAGGGTTTATTCGTAATATAAAGAGAAAATAAAAATTCATTGCGCAAAAGTTTTTATGCTTATCTCTCACTCCTATCACGTGTTGCAGTAAAATCATAACTTAACAACTTAGAATTCTTTGTATCTACTAAAACCACTCGGGCCACATACTTGACACTCAAACAGAAGTTTCTTGGAAGAAAAAAATATCGCTTCAGAAAGTTTTAGCTTGTTGTTACCTTTCAAGTTAAAATAAAAGTATATGAAATTGAAAATTTATTTAATTCAAGCCGAAAGTTACTTTTTGAAGATCTAATGTTGTGGTTTACCGCATTTTACTATAAACTTTACAGCTTTAGATAATATTTTAGATTATGTTCTTACAAATACCCTACAGTACTGAACCACAGTTTATTTTTGATTTGTAATTATGAAATTCAATATCTGCCTACCTAGTGTTTTTGTTAAAATGTTGAAAAAATTGTTCGTCATAAATCATGCTCGTGAAATCCCTGGATTAGAAAAGTTAATTGAAGAATACTACGCTGGGAGTGCAAAATATCTGATGATGACGCTTCTATGGCCGGGACAAAATCTTCTTTTGCAATATCTTGGTAGATCGTTCATATTATTAAATTTGCTATTAGCTATAATATTTCAGTTGTCTGCCGCACTTGATCTAATCCGGCCGCCAATAAACTGGGAATTGGCTGTACAACATTTTTTCGAACTATCGTTTGTTTTAAACATATTTTCTGCGTACTGCATATCTTGTTTTATTCATGGCGAGGTGATAGTTAAAAGTATTGCACTCAATTTTCACAAAAGTAATATGATTATTTTCAGACGCGAAATGTGACTTCTATTACTGTCAATTTTTGGAATAGTATTACAGATCCGGACCAAAAAATGTTAATGATAAGCTCAACCCAATTTTATCGTAGAATAATGATAGTCAGTAGAGGTTTGACGATACACTGTTAAATTATGATACTACTTATGGACAAAAATTAAAGCAAAATAATCTTTACTTTTAAATAAATAATTATCATTTTATATTCACATAAAAAATAAATGTTTCTTTGCAGTTATGATCTTTACCAGCTTTATAGGATTCGTTATTTCTCTTGTATTCATTCCATATGTTGTGAATTATATCTTTCCAGATAAGTATAGCTTAACACCTAAACTGTGCACCACAGCAGATATTTTTTTCATGGACGAGAAAAAATATTTTTTCTTTGCATTCTTGTATACTTTATTCTATATGATCCTACTGGCTGTTATAGCAGTTTGTCTTCTCAACTTGATAACAATTTTCCTATCTTTTATTCTTACTAGGTTTAAACTTTTGAAGTAGGTTTTTTCATAGTAATTCAAAGTATTGTGCGGCTCAAATTCACATTTATGACACGCGGTCAAGTAGAATCTATCATTATACTGAACATTATTTGAAATAATTTTTTCCAGTTTTCGTTTGGAAAAATTAAGTTTTCTCGTAAAAAGTGATAATCTTCCAAATACTGAATCAATGAATAGAAAGATATATGATGAAGTTCGAAATATATACCAGAGCCACGAGTCTACGATAAAGTAATTTATTACAACATGTCATGAATTATTTCAAATTATATTGCTATATTCATAGGAATTGTTATAGGTACCTTGATAAGCTCCAATATATGGGCAAGAAACTAATGATGATACTGTTTTCGCTGAGTGTAAAAAATTATCCTCTCTTATTCGAGATGATAATTTCATTTACGGCCGTCATATTTTTTGCTTTTTTTATGGCTTATTTCGGACAAATAGTTGTCAATACAAGCGATGATTTTTTTTATAACTGATAAGTGATCGGATCTTGATGCATGGATAATCATTTTAAGGTAATTCTGGTCTCCTTGATTAATTATATGTACCTATTTCCCGTGTAATAAATACTCTGATTCACTTTTCATGTGACACAAAGTCACTCTTTTGTATGTCTTGTTAATAATCATATACACACATACAGGCTGCTTTGCAACTCGGTTCAGAATTCAGAACGCGATTCTTTAAATAATTTGAAAAAAAAGGAACAATCAGAGTAGTCCAGAGTTGATAAATTGCATAATTAAAGCAGAGCTAGATATCAATTTTCCAATTAATCTTCGCTCGTTCAATTAGTCTCTACAATAATTTTTAAGTATTAAATTGGATTTTATTTTTGCAGTTACCTCTGTGGATGGTACGAATTTCCTGTAAACGCTAAACCATACATACTCATGATGATGATTCGAGCACTCAGACCTTGTGAATTTAGTTCCGGCTCATTTATGATTCTTAAACTGAATTATGAAAATTTTACTTCAGTAAGTTAAAAATCAATTGTACATCAAATTCATGAAAGGCATTCTAATTTTTCCCTTTTGACCATTAAGATTGTCAACACCGCAGTATCTTACATGACAGCCATGGCTTCTATTATGTAAATAATATTAGATGAATTGATTAATTGATAAATAAAAATTTTAGCAAATAGTTACAACAGCTTTGATGAATAATTTAAAAAAACTCATTCTAATTGAAATTTAAAATCGTAAATTCAAAACATTAAAGTAATTCAAGTGTCATAGAGTAGGGCTATAAAATGCCACAAATGTACAAATAAATGCATTTTCAAAGCAGCCGCAATGGATTGCTGCTTGATAAAAATATTTTCAAATTCAACTATCGAAAATATTTTTCGATCGCTGAAACATCGGGTGCGTTGACGAAAATAAAAATTTAAAAAATCCAAATAGACCAGCGTCAAATGGGCAAACGAGAAAAATTGCGGTTTGCAATTGCGCTCAAAATTCCTCTTTGATGTGCAACGCTGCACGCGGGCGCAGTAGCGCGCGCGCACACACACACACACGCGCACACACACGTACAGACCCGCAGCGCAAAATGGTCCATTCGCGCGCGCAGCAGCCTCTCTGATCGATGAACTCGCTCTTAGAGTATAAGCGGCGCAGATGAGCTTGCGCGCCCTTTCTCCCTCCGTCCCTCCCTCCCTCTCTCTCTCTCTCGCCTTCCCTCCCTCTGTGTATCCGCATATGTGGTTGCGCGTGTGTGAGCAGCGCAAATTCCACGGCCCCCGCCGAGGGTGAATTTCCCACGAACGAGTTCAGAGGAGGGCAGTTCTCGAGCTGTCATCTTTCCTCGTCGACGTCGCTCTTCTCCTTCTAACCCTCTTTTTCATTCGCGACGCAGCTCTTTTTATTATTTTTCTTAATTCTCATTCCGTTTCGCTTTCTTTTTTTTCGGACGAGCCGGGAAATTCGTCAACTCTTCTAAACGTTTTTCCTCGTTCCGCATAAACTCGTTCGAACGATACGACATTTTCCTGTTTTTTTTTTTATTTTCGTCTGCATCTGAATCTGCTGTCCTCTTCCCTCTTATTTACATGGTGTGAAAAGTGTGCCAGTGGGCCGAGTATATTTAATCACGTGACCGAAGTACCATTACACGCTACAACGTAAATGACAGTTGGATGATTGAAAAATCAAACGCGTGGAGTTCGAGTTCGAAAAATTCGCCGCATTTACAAAATATATACACGGCCGGGAAAGGAAAAAAATTTTTCTCAACCCTATGATGCGGCACGACGATGGTAACTTTAAGCGGCAAGAAGACGAGGCTAATACTTCTCAGGGCAGAGTGTATACCACGATTATCCGATGAAAAAGTGTCAGTGAATCGATTCTCGAGTTCACTTCAGAGTGCACTCGAGAGCCATGGAGAAAGAAAAAAGCCTCGAGCTTGCATTTCGTTCGTTACGTAAGAGGAGAGCTATTATGGTTTTCATATTTTCGAAATGTCTATATCGATTAATGGTCGATTGTTTTTTGTTTGCTATTTACCCGGCAGTTGCGGACAAGTTTTTTATTAAAAGGAATTATTTACTATTAATTCAATTCACGTAATAAACAAAGACAACTCAAAAATGGAACTGCCACGTTCAATGGACAATTACGAGATCCAATTGCCTGTTCCATTGCAGTTATATCTGTGGAAACAATTGAGGTACTTAAATTTTATATTACGTCAAAAATGTAAGCGATCGTCGCACGACGAGTAAATTTGATTAATCTCTTCCAGACCATTCATCAGGGTAAAATTGGGAAGAGTGCACGAAGCGTCATGCGTGGTAATTATATCAATCCAATTTGAAAAATTACGAATTATACCGTTGAGCAAATTATAATCTCTTTGACTTTTGCATGCACTTCAGTTCTGTCAGCGAGCTCCGGGTCATCACGTAAGTATTTTTTGCGAGAAAAAAAATTCCACCATCATTCCAATTCTATCGATGAATAATTCATGATTTTTTCCCCTTCTACTGGTTCGTCAGGAAATGAAAGAAGCTTGCACGGTACGTAAAAAATCATCGACTTTATATGATATTTTTATTTAAATTTTTTTTTCAACGTCCACATACTAACGATTGCCTTATTAATCCAGTCCCTGGAGCGAGTCCTCGTGCAGAACATACACAACGAGCTGACGCCTCCTTTGAGGCAGCTACTGGGCACGGTGCCACGCTGGCGCTTCATTCAAGCCTCCTTTCCCTTTATAGTCCACGCCGCCGCCAATATTTTGCACAACAAGTGAGTCTTTTCACGCGTCATCTTACGTATTACTGCCAAGCAGTACGTGCATATAAGAATCGAGTAATAATTTTCGTTTCCACGAAACACACAGAAAAGACTTTCAAAACCTCGGCCCCCTCGAGACTACACTTTTATACATACTGCACTGGATAATTCTCGACGCAGCCGAGGAGTGCGCCGATCAGGACGGAGATCTGAATAATCCTTTTTATTACCTTTTCTCGATACCGACCATGACGGTTAGTTGTATGTTAGTTTATTATGAAAATGCTCATTCCAAGATTCTAAGATTTAATTTTTTTTTCCATCCAGCTTTTCGTGTATTTATTCGTACCGCTGTGCGGCCACTTGAAAGACATCGACTTCAAAAGCAATCTCAGATTGGAGAACGGCCAGAAAATCTGGTATCCGATTTACGAGTGTCGCCACCCCGAGGCGCCTTGTTTCACCGCGCACTGCCGACCCAAGCCACGTCCCTTATGGAGAACCATGACCAGAACCGCCCGATCGCATCACGTCTCCGACGATGTTTTTCTCGGCTGTAAGCCAAGTTGTGACTCAATTTTGTAAATTAATCTCTTCTTTACGATCTTGTAACTTTAAAATTCTGTTTAGCGAATGGGAGTCCACCCAGTCAGAGCGCGAGTGCGGTGTTTTCGGATCAAGGAACCGCTGCCACGAGAAATTTGGACGACGAGAGCGGCTGGGTGTCGTCGCCCAAGGAGAAGGCGTTTCCCGAAACGATACCCGAGGAGAGCTCGAGCACCGAAGACGAGCACGTGGTGAGTATATACACGATTTAATTAGTGAAAATTTTACACAGATCGAATAAATTCATTTTTCATATCGATTTTAGGTCATCTTTACATTACCATCGCTCGGAGAGTCCGAGCGTATGATGCATGGAGTCAAAGAGGTTTCGACAATATACGCGGTAAGATAGCATCGTTTTTATTGTTAAGCACAATTATTAATTTTGATTAACGTCTTTTCTTGACAGGGAGAAGCGAGTATTTTCCATGTGGCTATGGCTCGAAGAAGCAGCTCCTCCAAACCTACTTTGACCATCGAACAGGTCACGCCATTTTCCGAAGCAGAAGCTGCCAAAGCGTCCGAAGAGAGACTTAGCCGTAAAAAGGAAAGGTAATGATTAAGCCTGTATTGAAGTTGAGTCTGGCTACACAATTACATGACAAATATATAATCTCCAATTTTATTTTATTCGAATTTTCAGATCTGAAAGAGAGAGCGGTAGCGACTCCAAATCCAAGGGCGAAGATCAAAGGTACACGTCGTCGAGCGACGGTCCGAGAATTTCGTCGATTGATCACGACGTCCGAGCCGCGACATTTTTCGATGTCGCGGTCATACGTTGCTTGTTTCTGTCTCAGTGGCAAGAGGAGGGTATTTTCTGGGCTCTGCAGTTTTTATACAATCGGTCAGTAAAGTTGGATTATGCATGGAAAAATTGGTACTGATTTTTCATTGTGTACAGATTGCGACGAATCAACGAGGAAAGTTCGGTACAACAAATGCCAAGGAGACGAAGCAACTCACTGCCTATTCCAAAAATCGAAGTTTCGATTTATCAGAGTCCTGAGAGTAAGAAGAAAGATGACGAGGTTCGAGATGGTTATTCACAGGACACCCATGACTCGACCACAGCTGGTAAATAATCAAAAAATAATAGATTTGTGTCTTTAAAAAAAATATATATTTATTGCATTTTTCTACTGAAGATGTAAATTATTACGGCGACGATTACAAAGCCCACGAATCGGATAGAAGTCACATGAGACGAGCCAGCGAAAAGACCAAGCGACGCATGAAAATGGCCGATTTGAAAGCTTTCGTCGAAACGAAATTGTTATCGAAATCGGAGAAAGCTTTGGAAAAAATAGGTCAAGAGGAACCAAAAATGACATCTGAAGTAAACAAAAAACTAGCACAAATTTCATACAAATATTTTGAGAAATTTCTGAACAATCGTATCGTTCCAGGACTCTCATCGCAGTCTAGACACTGGCGAAGAACAATTATCGAGGCAGCCGTCAATTTCCTCGAGAATATTCGACGCCAAGGAGGGTGATTTTTTGGAACACTCGTCGAATCTGCTGAAAGGAAAGAGCATGCCGAGTTTGAGGTATTGTAAATTATCATAAACAAACGTCATTTTACATTTGACTCCTATGATAAATTAATCGACACAGTTTTTTGGAATAAAATTAATTCAAATCTTAGATTCGATTATTTTGGATCGTACTTTTACAATTGCCATGTTTGAAATCATTTATAAAATTAGAATAATAATCAGTACACAAAAAATGCATAAATTTTTTTTCCTATAGCTACATACTAAGTAGTATTAATCAAATCATTTTCCTCATAGTTTTAGCCGGAGTTGAATAGAATTGAAAAAAAAAATCATATTGACATTTTTGTAAACTTTAAACCTGATAGGCTTAGTTTGTAAATATGAAATACCTCCTAGACATAGCAAAAAAGCAACAAAAAAGCATATCAAAATCACAGTCGTTTTATCATCGTTAACATTTTGTTCCTTAGACTAATACACGAAGGCATAAAATTACTGGGCGCGGACTACGGGTATGACAAAAATCGACCTATCCGGTCATCTAAATACAACACACTTATATCACTAATGCACATACATATTTTAAAAAAATTCTGTCACAAATTTAAAACTTACTCAAAAAATTTACACGATTTATTCTACCATGGATAATGAAATAGAATATTTTCTCTCTGTGTCTCTCCTTCCCTCCACTAAACGTTCGATCTTTCGAATTCACTACTCGTGCTCAGCTGTTTGATAAGCGAGCTGACCGCGGCAGGGTAAGTTTGTAGCATACAATTTAATACAAAAGTTCCTAATCGCCTCTGCATTATATATTTCACTCTACTTTACGCTCTCTTTTATTCTCATATTATTTCAAAATATGACCAAACATTTCAAATACATCATGACATAAACAACTTTAGAAAGTATATCATAATAATCATAGCAGTATAAGCTTTGAAAATAATTGCATGTGTAAACACTAATTTTAGAGCTTATATAGCCTAGAGCTTGAAGCACCCCATCAAAACAGTAGATGAATTCTGCACGCACTCATAATTAGAAAATTTTCATGAAAATAAACGTCCGCAGAACTATTGCTTATGCTTCATTCGCATTAGAGGCTTAGCAATTTCAAGCACTACTACATAGTTTGAACAGTAAGCGTAAATTACCAACGCAGGCTTACAAACACGCCCGTATTTTATTATACTAAACACGGGAGCCAGAGAAATTCCCATGCGTCGACGGAGTCAAAGATCGAGACCGATACGCTATTCCGTGTTTTGCAGATACATCGGCGAGCCAAAAGTCGAAAGGAAGCAGAGTCGTTTCTACAGTAATTCGTGCGCCGCGCCTAATCCCATCATCACCGTGACGGAACACACCCCCGTACCGTCGCCCGACTATATGAAGCGACAGGTGAGTCTCGAATGTATTATTGCAAATTGAATTCAACGCACGAAATGCATCGTTCATTTGTTTCAGGGATCGATGGACAGTCAGCTGGACGCGATTAACAGTCACGGAACGGGAGGACGCCGAACGATTTGGGAAAGGAAGCCGAGTCTGACGAGATCGCAGACCGACTCGAACATCACGTATTCGGGTGACGAGCCCCTCGAGGCGCCGGGCTCGTCTTGCTTCATCACCAAGGACGGAGATATCGACATCGAAGTCGTTCTAAAAGTAAACTTCAACCATAATTTTTAAACTGTTTAATTAATTAACGTTATGTATATTAATGAATTATCGATTGAATCTCGTCGCAGGCAATACACAACGTCACGTTCAAAGACAACCAGAGCTGCTCCCTGAGAGTCTGCGAGTCGATTCTCAACTTGATCGAATTGCTCATGGACATGGGGGTACTGACTCGATACACGCGAGAAGAGTCCGTGAACGACAAAGGTACGTACTGCACGCGTTGGAGAAACGAGCCTATTAACTTTCGAACTACGATACTGTTTTTCAGTTCAATTTCAATTTTTATACATGTTTTTATTATGATGGTGTAATACGTTTGCGTGCTCAGCACGACTTGAAGCAATGTACACAATTTTTGTAGATATCGTAGGCGCCCATATGACCACTAGTGGTAATTGTTATTGTACATTTGCTTTAGCCTTGCTGTGGCTAATTTTTGAGTCTATTAACATTTGTCGATATTATTTTAAGATTAAAATAATAAACATTTTTTGAAAAAACCATAGAAGTAAATTGCCTTATAATCTTCGATACTATATGTACCACACTCTTATATGTACCACGAATTATGCTGTTTCTCTTTCGATTTCTGAAAATCCGTACGTGCGCCATCTAACGGCAACTTAGGTACTTATTAGAGTTTACGCCGGTAATGACAATGGCCAGTCGAAGTTTCACAGAGTAGGATATGTTAATTAAAGTTAATTAAAATTAATTAAAAAATGATTATAATGTTTGGAGGATGGACGAACTTTCTATAGTTCATCATGAAAAATAGCATAGAACAGTTGAGCAATTATAGATATTGTCTAAAATCATAGTAACATATTATACAACTGTACGTCGTCAGATTCGTGCGGTAAATCCGAGAGCGGCAAGAGGCAGCAGCAACAGCAATCCCAACATCAGCAGCAGCAGCAGCATCAACGCGGCTCGCCGTCGGACAGCGAGGCCCAGCAGCAGCGCGACGAGTCCAGTCCGCACGTCGTGGCGCTGAACACGGTGGTGCGCATACTGCGCCATCTGGGCTGCCCGCACGGCTGCAACGAGGGCACCCGCGGACCTCAGGCGGACTTTTGCCGCTCGCAGATACAGACGATCCTGGGCAAGCTGCACGAGGCCGATCGCAAGCAGTTCTCCACTTTCTTGCGAGGCTTGTGCAAGAAGAGCCCGCTGGCCTACGTGATCGATCTGTTTCACGCTTATCTGGGCTTCTGCGTGGATCCGGGATCGCTGCTGTCTCCGCTGAGTGAGCAAGGAATTCTTAAAAAAAAAAAAAAGAAAATAGTGGATTTTGACCTAAAAATTTATGTGGGAATTGACATGGAACAATGAGGATTCCATATGGATTTCTAAGTCAAAAAATTTACATTGATTTCTAGTCTAATTTCCAATTGAAATTTTGCGTGCATCTCCATGTTGTTTTCCATAATATGGATTTTCAACTCAAAATCTACTACTTTGGAACAAGACTGTGAATTGATGTGAATTTTTCGACTTAGAAATCCATATTAAATCCAATACACTTCATGCCAATTTTTATACACGATTTTCAAGTCGAAATCCACATAGAAATCCAATATTTCTTTTTAATTCTCCGGAAACGTTTTGATTGATTTTGAATTAATTTTGCAGACCAGAAACGTGGCTCGAGCAAGTCACCGGACTCCGTGCCCCAGGGCAGCTACGCCACCAATTTCGGCGCCGGTATGATGGGCGGTATCGCGAACGCCAACAACATGACGAGCTGCAACAGCGCACAGAATGCCGCAGCAGCAGCCGGCGGCGGTGGTGGTATAGCCTCGGCCTCGAGTAGCGGTGGCTCCGGTTACAACACGGGCATGGGCCCTGGCGGCGGTATCGGCAATCGATTTCGCAGCATCGAGTCCCAGATAATGGGCTACGTGTTCAAAACCATCGTCACGAAGTGTTGCGAGGGCAGCAAGTCGCTACGCTCCCAGGACAACATCGCCCTGTACTGCGACGTGCGCCAGCTGATGACCTACATCAAGGAGGCGCACGGCGGCGTCTTTCGTCGCGTCGCGCTCAGCTGCATCCTCGACTCGGCCGATCGTCCGAATCGCGTGCGCAGCGAGCCCCACCAGACCAAGGTCATACGGCACATCAATCTGTACGATCTGGACCCGAGCGCCGACGTAGACGCCGACGGCATCTATACCGTGGACGACAAGACGGGCGCGCGTAGATATCTGTTTAAAAAGCGTAGCGCCTCGTCGGCGGGAGCGGCGGTAAGTGCGAGAGCGGCGGCAGCGGCCTCGACGACGACGGCCGAGCTGCAGTCAAAGTTGCCGTTTCATTCGATCTTTCAGAGCTTGTTAGAAACCGAGCTGAGCGACGATAACGTCAAAGTCAGCAATCAGAGTCCCGTGGACGGTGTTGCGGGCGCGGGTGGTGGTGGTGGTGGTGGTGGTGTCGATAGCTGCGGCGGGGGCGGCAACGGTGGCGGTGGTAGCGGTAGCGGCGTCGGTAACGTGAGAAAAAAGCATCACGCGCTGACGCCGCGACAGAGCGAGCGCAATCTCGATCTGAACGAGCCGTCGTTCGGTATCAGAAAGTCGCGCAAGACCAATCGATTGAAGATCGGTGGAATAGGTAAATTACACAATGTATCCCGTATGGTAGTAAATTTGAAAATAAAATAAGCTCTCGTGCAATTTTTATTAAAGATCTTACGTAAGATCTTACCTAAAAAAGGTATATAATTTATCCAACATCTAAGACATTTTAGTAATATCTTATGTAACACCATATGTTAGATCTTGTGTAAGATCGTGTGTAAGATTTTATGTAAGATCATGTGTAAGATCGTATGTAAGATCGTGTGTAAGATCTTTTATAGAGTTTGCGTTAGGGCTTATTGTAGATTTTCATTGTAGATGTGGCGCGTTGAGTACGTGAAATTATTTCGATTTGTTTTTTGCGCAGTAAATTGGTTCAGTAGAGAGTACAGAAGGCGCGGTGATCACAGCGACAGTCATGAGAACAGCGAGTCGCCCACCGATTACAATTTTTTGCGCCAACCGAATCTCAGGCGGCCTTATCGACGCGGAGTCACTAGAACGTCCAAAGGGTAATTTTAGCGAAACGAACCAAACAGCAAATCATTACTGAACTTATTTCGTTTAAACCTAATAGGGTCAGTCAAACGTTTAAGAAAGCTAAACGCAGAATGGAGGATAAATTGAGTAAAATGGGATTGGTCAAGGGCAAGAAGAAGAAAAGTTTCGAGGAAGTTCAAGGAAACTGTAAGTTTTGAGCTTTAAAATTAAAAATAATTATCGGCATCGATCGATCGAACAATTTTAATCTCACACAGACTACAGCCGAAAAGATTCGCTGGACATCGAGGACGCCACTCGCGAGACCGAATTCGTCGTGATCAAGGAGCGCCGTCTCGTGCCGAAGCAAGCCATCCTCGACGGCATGCTGAGATTCTCGTTCCTGCTGGACACCTGTCATCCGGGCACGGTGCCGGACCATCACCTGATGGCCGCCCTGCTCGATCTGCCCGGTGCGCCGGTGGTCTGTCGCGCCGCGATCCTGCTCGAGTGCGCCAGCTACGTGCACCAGTGCAACAAGGGCCACTGGCCGATCTGGATGAAGTCCAACTTCCCGATGTTTCGGCCGTCGATGGCGCTGAACAATCGGGGCGCGCCGACGGGCATCAGACGCACCCACGTGCTGCAGCGAGCCGGCGGCAAGCTGTTCTATCAGTGGGCCGAGGCCGTGGGATCGAGGCTCGAGCAGTTCTTGGCCGAGGACAGAGCCTGCGCCGACAAGATCCAGGAGTTCGTCGAGAACGACAAGAATCAGGCCTTTCTGCTGGCTCAAGAGGAGGAGGAGGACTTTCTCGACGAGGCGAGCATCGTCAGCTACGGCTCGAAAGTACCCATGGCCCTGAGACTGGTCGCCTGCTGCCTCCTCATGGAGATCACGAGCTTCCTGCGCGAGACCTACCCGTCGATCCCGAAGTCGAGCCGGCTGTCGATCAAGGAGCGCGCCCCGCCCTGGGAGAAGCTCTACAGTCGCGAGGCCAATCGTCGCTGGAGCATGGCCCTGTCGTCGATGGGCCACTCGCAGACCTCGGCCCAGTCGCTGCAGTCGATCGCCGGGGCCGACGGCAAGGAGACCGAGCGCAAGATCAGCTTCGTGCTGCACGAGCCCGACAACGAGTCCGAGGGCAGCAGCAAGTCCAACGTCACGATACCGGGCGAGGAGCTGGGCCAGAGCAACGAGCGCGAGCGAGCCGCCAGGAGGATGACGCAGCAGGCGCCCGGTCGGCCGTTCCTGCTGCGACGCGGCACCTCCGGCAACACGGCCACGGGCTCGTTCAAGAGGCGCAGCTTGAAGCTCAGGCGCAACACGAAGGAGGGAAAAGAGATCGAGGTCGATGCTTGTGAGTACGATATTCTGATATGGATTGAATTACTTTAGTGATAGGCTTGAAAATGAGTTTTTCACCCAGTGAGGTATGAACTCGGAAAGCAATATACTCTCTGTCAACACTCTTTTTATCGGCTAAAACTGAAGATTTATAATTAATTAATCAAAAATATAAGTATAGTGGGTTTAAATACCTAAAAAACTGATTTTTCTATGAAGAAGATCTTTGCCAATGAGTTGGCAGTGGATTTTTTCTTTTGAATACTATAGTTTTTTTTCAAATATGAATCTAATACAAATCTAATATTTTTTTACGAAAAATCGTTCTTGTTTTTGTACTAAATTCCCTCATTGATATTATAATGTTTGAACAACTCAATAAATAGATCTACTAAAAGCGGCTTCATAATCGATATACAAAATGTATGTAATAAAATGCAAGAGATAGAAAATATTCGTTTATATTGTAGGTAGGAGCGACGAGGGATATAAAATGTGGGATTTGGGACTCTTTGACTGATATGTATTAAAATACCAAAAGTGCGTCACGATCGGTAATAAACGTGCAAAAGAAAATTTAAAAAAGCATTATGTTGACCCATATAGCTCAATACGTTCTTATTTTCAATAAATAGCTGAACTTCCAAATGGAAATTGATCTGGATTCAACATGGATTGACAACTGTATTCTACATGAATTCCAAGTCAATCCATGTGTAATTCACTTTAATCAACGCGAATTTATCAAAGCAGGACCAGAAGCTATAATAAATCTTCATATTATCGTTACGCAGATACTATTCAGTCGAAGCGCAAAGTCAGCTCGCTGTCGGACCGCAGCGACACCTCGGAGCCCGGCGGCCTGCTCTACGGCGTTGGCGGGGGCGGCGGCGGCGGCGGTGGCGAGGTCAGCGGCGAGGAGTCGCCCGGCATACTGAGCGACGACCAGCAGCCCGAGAGCCCGAGCGACAGCAACGACACCGACGACTGCACCACCAAGAACTTCCCCTGGATGCGCATCGTCGCCCAGATGACGGCGCACTATCACTTCCTGTGCGACCACCAGAGCTTCTGCCATCCGTTCTGCCATCGCAGGCAGATGCGCGCCGGCGAGAAGCTGATCAAGGCCGTGCGCAAGATCTACGGCGAGGAGTTCGGCTACGTCGGGGGCATGGACATGTTCGGGGATCCGGACGCGCCCGAGAAGAAAGCGGCCGAGGAGGAGAGGGGCAAGAAGGACAAGCGTTGCAGGAAGGTCTCGGATCAGCAGAGCGTACAGGTGTCGCCCGTTAAGAGGAAAGACAGCATGGGACGTAAATTGAACAAGTGAGTGTGCACGTAAAAATCATATAATATGTATACTATAATTTGATACCCAAATAAATTTTCGAATATTAGGATCGACAAGAGCCTCGACGGCTCCCAATCCGTGATCAGAGAGTCGATGAAGGACTTGGCCGATCACGAGTCCAACTACGCGCGCGACTTCGCCAAAGCCATGGAACCGCCTGAGGAAGACTACAAGGAGAAAGAGCTGAGCCCCGTGCAGAAGTACATGCAGATCCACGTGAGAAACGCCTTTCACGCGCCGATCGCCACCCTGCTCAAGGGCGCCGCGATCGTCACCGAGGATCTGTTCGTCAGCATACTGCCCGTCGCCTGGGAGCTTCTGCTGGAGAACAATCAGGAGGTGGCCGCGGCGGCGGCGTCCCTCTTCATCGTGGCGTCGGTTCGCGCGCCCTCCCACGCCACCGACATCATGCACGGCGGCCTCAAGCACGCCAATCCGGAGGTGCGCATCTCCTCGATCCTGAGGTTTCAGGTTTTGTGGAGGCACAGGTATCAGGTCTGGCAGAGGATGGAGGAGCAGGCGCACGCGACCTTCAAGGTGCCGCCGCCCGGGATCGAGTTCACTCTGCCCTCGCCGAAGATCGGCATAGAGTCGTTGCCCGTGGTCGATCCGCCCTGGATGCCGCAGGTCAGGACCAAGGTCGAGGAGGTGACCATCAATCAGGAGAGACACGTGAGTTATATCGCGATGATAATCTTTAAAATTTTGATCGATATTTCGTCTGTATTTGACATTTGATCTTCGAAGAAATCATTCGAAACTTTTATCTTTCTTTTTGGCTCTTGGGACATTGAAAAACTAAAGAAAAGTCTTCCCGAGGTTCGAAGAAACGACGTTGAAATGGTATCATTTTTGGTGAATGTTAAAGTAAACTGAAAAGGTTTAGTAAAAAATCCTGTCATGAAAAATTGAAAATAGACGTAAGCAGGTAGTAATAAAACAAAACTTGCTGGATTTTTAAAGCGATCGAAGCTGTAGCTAAAAAAAAATTACCAACAATTTAAGGAATTCAACATTTTATCAGTTCAAAATCAATAACGCGTTTCATTTTATTATTGAAAAATTTTGTTTCACTTCACTCATACTTTGTTTTTTAATTATTTTTTGAGTTTTATAATTATCGTTAACTTTTGCTTTACGCAAGTGATATGCAAAATCATCATCCATTTTTTTAACTGTTAATAAATTGATGTTGGGTTTCACGTCTTTGCATTCGATAACTATTTCAAGTTCGTCGTTTTCATGATTTCCTTCACATTTTTTATGGGTCTATCAAAAAATAAAAGCTGTGTAAGAATTTTTATGAAAAAAAGCATTATAAATAGCATCTTTAAAACATTTTTTCTTAACGTTGATAGTTTTGGAATAAATAATAATTGAATTTGCACAATAATAGTTTGACTTTCATTAGATAAATTATACCAATTTTTCGATAGTGGATTTTTCTTTAGTTATTCAATGTCCCAAAGTCAAAAAGAGAGACAGAGAAAAAGTATCGAATAATTCAGCAATTTCAAAAGTCAATAGTAGTCCAATTAACCTATTTATTTTCCTCGAAAATACAAAATAAGCGACGGATAAAATAACTATCAAAAATTTTCATCGCGATTTTAGCCTCTCATTTTAAATATTTTTTTATAATTACTCACTGTTTGCCATTGCGATCGTGATTTTTCAGCGCGCCTTGGTGACAGCCACGAAGACGCGCAAGAAGCAGCAAACCGAACTGATCAAGCGGGCCCTACAGGCGCAAGACGATAAAAAGAAGGAGGAGAGAATCAACTTTTTGATCACGACAATACCGATTACTTTCCAAGCGGCTTACGAGCCCAGCCCAGTCGGAGACGATCACGACGATGGTATGAAAACTCTTCTACTTGCAAATGCCATAAAAGTAAATAAATTTTGAAAAATCATTTTATCGCTTACAGCTACGGACGAGGATATCGGCGACATGGTTCCGCGAAATCTGACGCATCACGTGCAATCGGCTCAAGCACTGTTCCCCTCGACCCTCGGCTCCTCCTTCATTCTCATCATCGACCTGCTGGACGATCCGTCGGTCACCGACGACGGCATGGGCGTCTACCTCGTGGCCTACCAGCTGATCTGGAACTGCCTGGTCGAGGACAGTGCTCTCTTCCTGCGGTACATCATGGAACGCCTGACCAGGGATAATCAGGACAATCTGTTCAAGATACTGCGTCATCTCATAAGATTCATTCCGAAATTGCCCCAGCAAGCCGCTTTCGCGCTGTACAACTACATAATCGGTTACATCATGTTTTACGTCCGATCGCCTCACGAGGAAGGCCAGAAACACATCGGTACTGCCCTGTCGATTCTCTGGATGGTAATTCACAAACTTAATTAAAAAATTACATTGTCGTATGTCGGTGACTCAATTTTTTCTGGTTTCATCATGCAGGTCGTTCACAGTGTCCACGGAATCATGTTCAAAGATCTGAAGCAAATCTTGCGAAAAGAGCAGTGCGACGCGTCGATTTTACTGACGGCCAACGTGCCCTCGGCCAAGAAAATCGTCGTTCACGGACCCCAGAATCCCGACGACGGCGGAATACCCTCCCAATTTCCCGTTCAAGAAGACACGCAATTTTGTCAGATCCTCCGCGAATCTCTCGACTTTTTTGGCATCGAGGAGTCCAAGCACAAGGAGTACTTCCTCGTCGATCATAAAACACGTAAGACTCCTATTATACACGACTCAATACGGCTGAAAAATTATAATATATATCTCGTTTACCGCAACAGATCAAATCCACAATCCGGCCTCGTACGTGCGAGACTATTACTTCTTCAAGCGCTCGCAGTACCCGCAGCTCGAGCTCGTCCACATGGAGCCGGAGGAGGCGTTCAACGCCTTGCAGCGCGAGGAGCTCACGCACAAATTCGTGGAGATCGGCAAGGTCCTGCTGACCTGGGCGATCCTCAAGAACGTCGACATGGTCGTCCAGCGAGTCGTGTTTCTGCACGAGGAGCTCATGAAGCTGCCGTCGTTTCCGCGCAAGGCTCTGGAGTGCGATCTGGATCTTTACAAAGGCGGCGAGTACGGCCAGGTAGTAAATTATTTTTGAAATTATAATTCAACACAAAGCATTAAAAATATTTTCATTTAAATTATTTTACAATAATACAAGTCTGTTTTTTCCGCGTGGAGAAATGCAATTTCATGCAATCTAATGATATTTTTACTCTTACTTCTACGAAAGAGATTTTATTTTGAATATTTTACTCATGAGTTCAGACAAACGTTCGCACGTGAGCAAAGCGCCTATATTTACACCAACCTCATGTGAAATGCATTTTTTTCACGGTTATTCGATACATGTGGATGCTTTTGGCAGTTGGAATGGACTAGTAAGAATGATTTGATTTATACAATTATTTTTACTCTACCACTCGTAGATTTACAGATGAAGGTACTCGCCATCTAGCGGTGGGAACTAGTATTAATCATAATTGAGTTTGCATAATTTTTTTGTATCCAATTAACGCAAATAAGTACTAAATCCGTATATCAAGACACTAATTCTGAGGAAAAAATGTGTTAACTCGAGCGAGTTCTTGGTAGAAAGATCGATTTTTTTATTTGTGAATGATCTTTGTTGAAAAACAAGATATTGGTACTGTTCGACATCGATGAACGCACGAGCGAGGCGTGTCTCATCGGTGCGATCTGCATCGATTAGCCGGGTAATCATTTCTGTCAATATTGTCCTTCTCTCCAGCTATCTATACAACCACCCTTATAAGATAGTTTTTTCTTCGTGGGTACAATGAAATTTCGGTAAGAAAAAAAGCTGCAATTTCTTATGCATAAGAATAACTGCAACGTGTGGAACTTCTTGATGATTTTTTACATATAGAGCTGAAATGAAAATACAATTTTTTTAAATTTATTTATTTGAATAAAAAATTTTAGAACATCAGCTACATAAAAAAATACAAAAAATACGCCTATTGACATTACAAGATTTAGTCACCATGCATTAAGAAAGAATCTTCATCATTATCTCTAAGAAACATAATCATGTAGCTTCTATGCAGCTTTCTTGGCCCTCGCGGGTCTCGTGTTGCAACGTTTTGTTACATTTTTTCTACTATCTTCTCTTCACTATCAATATATAAACGGAGAGTGGGCATTAACAGTAATAATTATTCAGCTAATCTAACAAATTCGGTTGTATTACCAAAAACTCGCTCGAGCTACACAAATTTGAACATTTTTTAAGATAGTAAATGCCTCAATACTCATTTAATATTTGATTTAATTGTACAATAAAACGATGCAAACTCAATCGCGATGAGTACCAGGCCCCACCGCTAGATGGCGAGTACCTTCATATCTGTAAATCTGCAATAGTCAAAGTAAAAATAATTGTATATAAGTCAAAGTACTCTTACTAGTTTCTTATAAAGAAGCTTTTTAACTGACTAGTTAAAAAGACCGAAAGAATTACATATCACACGATAAAGCTCGTGAAGACAAACAAGTTGAGAAACGATTAATCCTCGCGTTTGCCGTCCGCTCGCAGCAACTGCTGGCCTTCGACGTCATGCACAAGTTCATGTGGGTCCGCCTGATCGCCCGTATGTTCGAGGCGATGGCCGGCAACTTCGCCTACAGCGGCGACATCCATCTGTTCATCAACGTGCTGAACGGCACCCTGTTCCTGCACAGCACCGACTCGTGCATACTGCGCTACGTCGTCGCTACCTACATCAACGCGGCCTTCAACTTCAAGAACATCTTCTCGACCAACGGCTACTTCCTCATCATTCCCACGCTCATGCAGCTCTACTCGACCCATCAGACGAACAAGCTCGTCACCACCACCGTCGAGTACGCCGTCAAGCAGTTCTACATGATGCACCGCAAGCCCTTCATAATGCAGATGTTCGGCAGCGTGTCGGCCATCCTCGACACCGACGAGACCAGCGCCATCGGCGAGGCGCACAAGGTGCCCTCCTCCTGCCTGTTCAATCTGCTGCTGAGTCTGGAGACGCCGTCGCCCGATCCACTGAACATCGGCGAGCTCGTCAAGGAGGAGAAACCCCTGAAGGCCATCGACTTCTGCTACCACGACGAGAGCGAGATGGTGACGATCCTCGACTGCATCTCCATGTGCGTGATGGTGGTGTCGTACGCCGCGGACTCGCTCAGAGGCCAGCAGATGCTCATCATCCTCGAGGCCATAATGCCCTGCTACGTGCAGCAGATTCAATTGCCGAGCTACAACAAGGAGGGCAAGACCGAGAAGGAGATCATCAATCAGCTGGCCATAACCGTGCGCACCCTCGTCAACAATTCCGAGTCGCTGGCCAAGTACTACAATCGGCCGCAGAAGAACAGTCCCGAGCACAAGGGCTCGTCCCAGCGCAATTACGGCAAGAGCCCGTACTCGCCGGGCTTCGAGTTCGACGAGGAGGCCAACATCGGCGTGCCGGTGAGGCCGCCCACCGCCGCCGAGGCGGCCAAAAACAAGCAGCAGGTCTTCGACGACGACGCCGAGAGCTCGCACAAGAACGAGTTCGTGCGGCCCAGGGACACTCTGCTCAACATGGTCGGTGACTTCGTGGCGCGATGCTCGGCGAGACTCGTCGAGCTCGACAAGAAGTCCCAGGACGGAAAGACCATCGAGATTCTGGACTCCAAGTGTCACATCGTACGTATTATTTTATGTATATACTTTTTAATGTTGCGGATGAAACGATTACTAAATTAAAAGTCGTTTGAAAATATATACTCAACGAAAATATTTTTGCCGCTTGCGGATTTACAATGCTCCATCTGTTGACGGAATCAAAAAGCTCTTGATCAAATGTGACAATATTACGTAACGATATATCTTCGATACAATTCAATTTTTCTACAAAAATATAACTAATTTTTTAAAATCAATCAGTATCCGTGAAACTTTACCAAATTTCTCCAAAATAATTTCCTCCAAACGAAATTTTTTGTTTTCTTTCGTTTTGTACAGCGCCTGGCGGACGTCGCCCACAGCCTGCTCAAGATATCCCCGTACGATCCGCAAGCCATGGCCTGTCGCGGCCTCAAGCGCTACATGAACGACATCCTGCCGTTCGCCCAGTGGTCCAACGACGACATGCGTCCCGCGCTCACCATCATACTGCGCCGCCTCGACAAGACCTTCAGCAAGATCTACAAGAAGGCCTCGATACGTCGCAGCACCAACTGGGACGCCGCCAGCGAGCTGCTCAAGGGCCTCTACGAGACTCTGCTGCGCTGCCCCTACATCGCCCACTTCCAGAATCTCAAGACTCTGCTCAACACCTGCCAGTCCCTGATAATCGGCGACACGCAGGGCATCGAGATCACGTCCTCGGCGACGGTGGCCCTCATGAGCCGCATACCGCCCCCGTTCTTCTGCTCGACGGTGCTGCGACTCATCGCCCTGCAGGTGATCTCGCTCGGCGAGGGCTACACCCTGGAGAACGTCTGCGGCAGCCACGCCATGTTCGCCACTGCGGCGCGCGCCGAGAACGTCCTGCTGAATCTGCTGATACCGCTGTTTCTGCGGGTGGGCGCCGGCAGGCAGGACGTGCCGCAGCTGCGCAAGACCGACATCTGCTTCGCGCTCAATGCCGTGCTGAACACCCTGTGGCCGACCGGAGTGAAGTCGACCACGACGACGGCGACGAATCTCAAGCCGACGGCCGACATACGCACGGGTAGTCTGACCTTCGCCGCGCGAGACTCGAAATCGTTGACCAAGACGTCGCTGTCACTCTACCAAGTTGCCTTTTTAGGTAAGTCGATAGCTCGTGCACAAAAATTATATAGTAGAAAAATAGAACAATATTTAAAAATCATAATTTATTAATAAAATATCGTATTGTGTTGAGTCGATAGATTTTCCTTATAAGTATTGATGCTCTACGAAGATTTATATTTTTTGGATTGCTTATTTTTATCAGTAAATACAGTGTCTCTGACAGAATATCTGTATCCTTTTAAAAAAAAAAATAATAAAATTATTTCGTGTCTGTTCAAGTTAAAAATTTCACTAACTTGCCTAGAGTAATAACCAACAAGGTGTTGCGGGAAAAGTAAAAATGAAAAACTTTGATTGTTATTCCTCCAGGCAAATCAGTAAAGTGACCATTTTGTAACAATTTAAAAACACCCCATACACTGACGAAACAAGAATAGGGCGTTTTCACAAAGCGTTACTGACGGTCAGGATTGAACAGCTGATTTGCCTGTAGGCACAACAAACCGAGTTTCCATATACTTTATATGTTAAGTCGATTAGTTTGACTGCAAATTACAAATAAATGAGATGCTCTAAAAATATATAAAAAATATGTTGATGTAGAGGAAGACTTCATCTTTTCATCTATCGAAGCGGATTTTACGATTTCTCTTTAGTTATTGCAAAAACAATTGTTGAAATTTAGGTCATTTCAGAGTCTAACTCGCTACTCAGCTGCTGTCAACACTGACTTGCGTGTGTCCGTGATTGTTTTAGCGATATTTGAAAATACATTTAAATATTAAAGCATGAGTATATTGCCTTTTTCGACTCAGTTCCCTTAATTCTTCAGAATTTCTATTATTTTTCGGCTTTCCTGTTGGTATACAAAAGAAGGAAAACTTTCCATTTTGGGAATTTGCTTTGCATCCTGTTACATAACACCTCAACACCATTTTTTATTTTATGATTGCAGATTGATAAAAAAAAAACGAAATCAAATCTCAAATATCGCTAAAACGATCACGGACACGCGCAACTCGGTGTTGACAGCAGCCGAGCAGCGAGTAAAACTCCGAAATAACCGAAATTTCAACAATTTTTTTTGTAATAACTAAAGAGAAATCGTAAAATCCGCTTCGATAGATGAAAAGATGAAGTCTTCCTCTACATAGACATATTTTTTATATATTTTTAGAGCATCTCATTTATTTGTAATTTGCAGTCAAACTAATCGACTTAACATATAAAGTGAATGGAAGCTCGGTTTGTTATGCCTACAGGCAAATCAGCTGTTCGAGCGAAGAGGTTAGTGACGGTCTCTGAAAACAGCCTATTGTTTTAATCAACGTTACATAGTTTCTCGAATAATCCGGAAGGCGCCGCTTACGACGATACTCGAGAGTCGAGTCTTGTCGTCACGACTCACGACTCGCGAAACACGACATGCAGAGAGACCATTTTGATCAATTTTAGAACGCGTGTGCCTAAGAGCAGTCGATACAAGCTAGAGCAGAGGATCGTTCAGTCCTATAATAGACAAAAGATTGTCGTAGCTTACTCACCCAATATATATCAAGTGTCCCACATTGTGTGCGTGTAAAATGTCCGCCAATGAAGTTGAGTGTTATACGCAAATTAATAAAGAAAAGTGCGTATTTACATGGGTGATATCAGATTGGCTGCCGTTTTGGAATAAGTGTGATGCACAAATATCATCGTCAGTCTTCAATGTCGGTAGTGACAATTCATTCCAGTTTCAATTGCAATTTTTCGAGAGGACAGATGAATACGGCAAACAATATGCAGGATTAGATATACGATGCTTAAAGAGTAGTACAGAATTACTATGCGAGTACAACATATCAGTTATCAAGGATGACCAACTTTTTAGCACCTACGAGGGTTATATTACTCACAATGATTCTAGCTTTACGATCTTTGAAAATAACGTTGGTTACACGAAAGAATTCATTTCATCCACCGGTTCTGTCACTTTTTGCTGCAAATTATTTGTTTTCACGGGAGATCATCATACCTCGTTAAACAAAGAATGCGTCGATAACAATGAAGCATCGAAATCTCGACTATCAAAATTCGATTCGATGTTTCTAAATGAAAAATTCAGCGATGTCAAGATAAGAACTGCATGTGGAAAGGAGATCCCTGCGCACAGAGTCGTGCTCGCCACCGCCAGTCCAGTATTCAGCGCTATGTTTGATCATGACATGTTGGAAAATAAACATCAATTAGTTGATATGGTGGATGTTACTTACGAGGCTGCAGTGGAGATGCTACGTTACGTCTACACAGATGTTATAGAAAATCTCGAAGTTTCCATAACTATTGATCTTTTGGTGGCCGCTGACAAGTACCAGCTCGAGGACATGAAAAACAAGTGCGAACTAATATTAAGCTCGAAGGTATCTCCTGAAAATGCTATAGATATTCTACAAGTTGCTGATAAATATAGCATGAAAAATTTAAAAAAAAAAGCTGTTGATTTCATTAGGCATAATATCAGCGATTCTTCAGACTCTGATGAATTAGGTACTTTGATTCTCAGTATGGGCAAATTTTTTTCTAAGTGATTTTCGAGTAGTTTCAAGATTTGATAAAATTTCAACTAAGCTTATTATAATGTAATTGTTTGTATTCACTTTAATTTGAAAAGATAAAGTTATTTTTGTATTCCAGATAGAAATAAAAATCTCAGCTATATAATTTCATTAACCTTGTCATTATTTAATCCATTACAATATAATAAAAACTAACATACATAACATGATATTAATGTCAATATATCTTGAAATATTTTTCTTTGATGGCTCCAATGTAACAACTCCTCTGCACAATTTAAATAATGTTGTGATTTCCCCGATCAATTATTCTCTGAATAACATCCTTCATTGAACATAAATTCTCATATCGCCGCCGTTTCAGCCTTAAAAATAATAATCATCAGCTTCGAGAACGACCTTACCTCGGAGTGGCCGCGCATCCTGCGCACCATGAAGCTGCTGAACAAGCGCAACGAGGCGTCGCTGCACCTCTGGAACTTCCTCGAGTTCGTCGTCACCCATCGCACGCCCCTCTACATCCAGATGATGCTGTTCATCATACACAAGATCGGCCAGGCACCGATATCCGAGCACGAGCGCACCATGCAGGGCATAATACGCGACCGCATGAACGGCATCGGCATGTCCTGCACCAAGTCCAAGAGCGACCTGCTCAACGACCTCATCAACGAGTGGAAGAAGCTCAAGGAGGAGATCGAGGATAGGAAATTCGGTGAGTCTGCTCGTATTAAAATATAACATATACAATGAAAAAAATGGATCCCACGTGGATTGACGTGGATTCCATGTAGATTTCTACTAGAGACGATTTTATGTTGAAAAAGCTGAATTTTCTTTAGTAAATTTACAAATATATAAATCTGAAAATGGAAAAAAATTAAAGTAGGAATCCACATGGAATCCACCTCTTTCCATGTGGATTTCCGTACAGAAATATACCTATTTATTTTAAATATATTTATTCTCTCGGCGCAGACGAGCTTCAGCCGAAGCGCAGCGTGGTCGACATGCACCAGGTGAACGAGGGCCAGCCCCGCACCCAACGGCCCTCGCTCCTCATCGATCTGCTGACGGGCGATCTGGGCTCGAGGAGCGGCGGCGGCGGCCACGGCAGCCGAGCGACGCCCGCCGACACACCGGGCTCGAACTCGACCACGACGGGAGGCGGTCCCGGTGGTCACACCGCCACGACCTCGTCCCAGCCGTCGGTGAGCTCGACCAGCAACATGACCAAGATCTCGATACAGAGCCAGGTGTCGATCGTCGAGGACAATCCCAGTGCCCGAGGTAAATCTCTGCTGCTAGCCAAGCGCGGCTTGCTCAAAAAAGCTCTGAGTAGTTTGTAGCGCCTATCTCGACTCATCATCGAATATCCGCTTTATTAGCCGATGTATTTTTTATAGTAGCCGCTAAAAAAAAAAAAAAACCAAAAAAGCCAAAAAAAAAATTTACATCATCGCTGTGTATCCCTGCGAGATATACGTCACGCGCAAAGACCCGTTATGGTAAGCTTATACGCATATATTATGGTGTCTTTCGCTTCGCAGCAACGTAATTCAAAATCAAGTGTTACGTACTACTTCCCTCCCCCAACCACCCCCATGCTGTTATTACACTTTCACCCATAAGTGTATGGTATTGTGAATTTAGTAAACAAAAAAGGGAGATAGTTGAGAGCTCCCTCATTTGCTCATCCTAAACACATTGGCCTGATATTCGCGTTCTAGGATCTATATCGAGCACGAGTGCGGGCTCCGGAACGTTGAGGGATGGGCCCGATGGTAGTAGTGGCGCCCTGGCCTGCCCCGGCTCATCGCCGATCCAAGCGACAGGTATCTAAATTGAACAACAACAAAAAAAAACACACTTGCACAGAAAAGTGTTGCTTGTGAACGAATTCATTGATATGTTAGCTGAATCTTGATACTCGATCTTCGACGATATCCTCGATGATCGATGACAAACTTGTTAACAATTATTATAACAATGATAATAATCAAATAGCAAAGTGTGACTTGTAACTTCACGTAATTATGTTTTCAAAGTACTAAAAAAAAAAAATAACCCAGAGTAGAGCTAACGATTCCAATTGTGACCAAATCTATACATGTGTGTTTAATGTTGGCTCCGCTCTGAAAGCATAATGAATATAACTCTTCCTACCTAAAAATGGATGTTGGAAGTACCTGTTGTAGTGAAAGTGAATTTTTGTTTGTAAAATCGTGTTTAGAAGAACGTACATGTAATATTTGTTGTCAATTATTGTAATGTACCTAAAATCGAAATATTTCTCGAATCTTGAGCCCAAATAGAAATAAACGTGCCTTGGCTGTGACTAAACAAAACAACAACAACAAAAAATATAAGGAAGCTCCCCCTCGAGTCTAATTGTTGTATTTGGGTTGTTGATTTTGATTTTTGTTTTTCTCTCTGTCTATATGACGAACGAGAATCAAAATGTGCGGAGAACCTATTTTCGGATCGTAAATCAAAAAAAGGAAAAATTATTTACATAGAACAATGAAATTGTCGTGCAACGAATATTTTCTATATAATTATCGATATAAATCTAAACTTATCCACGAAACAATCACTTTTAGAGTCAGCTTGAAAAAAGTATTAAAAAAAATATAATCGAGATTCTTATTGAATAGCTTAAAAACATGTATCAAATGTACTAAATGTGGTAATTGTAATGTAAATTTATTAACGTACAGATGAATAAAAACTTCAACACTCTAAAATTTTTTACTTTGCAAGAGTCTTTGAAGAAGTTTTCGATGTCGTTTTTTCAACAGTTGGATTACCACCATTGTCTGACATAAAGTTTAAATTTTCGCGAATTATAATGGATTAAAAATTTTCAATCGAGTTTTCGTTTGATTTTTGACAAGATTAAACTTTAATTTAATTTTAATCGATACATTTTACAAGCTTTTGGTTTGATTTTTTTAAGAAAATATAATTTTGAACGAAATAATCGATTTGATTTGTGGGTCAATGGCAATCTTTTTCATTTTTCAAAATATTTTTAATATCAATTGACTAGTTTAGCTCGGAAATTAAGGTAAGCCGTCAAACATTTTTAATTTGTTTAATTTTAGTGTGGAATTTTGGCCACTCAACGTTATTCTTAGATAATTAGTTTTATTTAATTTTCCACGAAGTATGATAATAAATTAATTTACAACTGACAAAAATATTATCATACTTCGTTGCATTATTTGCTTTATTCCGGGTTTCCGTGATGTTTTTAATATGTGTTACCCTTTTTTAAATCCCAATTTAAGATATTTTTTCAAACTTAGCTGTGAATCATTCGACTAATCCAGCTGATTATATTCTTGTGTGTGCTTTTTCAATCTAGAAAATTCACATAGATCCAATTTATACCTTTTCGATTATTAAATATAGTTTTGCGATGTATACATAATGATTATATCAACCGTCTTAGCTTATTACAATTATCATTAATGTTTTACACAAAAAAAATTGTATTCGTGTAAATATTATATACATAAAGTACACAATATTTTTTATTCTCCATGTAGACAATGGTAATTTCCAACCGTTGACATTAATCTTGTAGGATTTTTCTAACTTAGAAGTTCATCCATTACCCTACTTACATCGTTTTATCAAATGATCAAATTTACTTCACTTTTACTATTAGATGCTTACTATATGTGACTTGAAAAAAATTGACATATTATCAACTACATGTTTTTTATGCTACGTTAAGTATTTATGCAACTATCACCTGATAGTCATTACAAGATTTTATCATCACGCTCAAACGAAATCTAAAATGTGCAGAATTATTTTTATTTATATAAGAAATAAACGCGGGCGTCGTATGAAAAGCTCTGGTTTAAAAATAAACCAATTTCTCGAATAGGCGTCATTCGACGTTTCTCTCGTAATCTCGATATTTCGTCAGCTCATCGCTGTATAATCATTCATTCGTGCGAATAATTGTTAAATGTCAAATTTTTATATGTGCTTTTATAATTTTAAATAGTAGATCTATGTATGCTTCGCAGTACTGCTTTTCAAGCGATGATTTTAATTATTTATAAACTTTTTTGTTTTTTGAGATGGTATTTTGATAAAATTAAAAAAGTCAAAAAATTTAAATCAAAATCTTGACTAAGACTGCGATCAAATATTCTTAGGACTTTGATCGATTTGCTGCATGGTCGTTGAACTATTATGTAAAAAATTAGCAATATATGTGTGGCTGCTTTGAGTGTTATCCAAACCAAACCTCAATCTCAATAATAATTAATAATATACTCGTTAAACCATAAAAAACAAACGAATCTTAATAAATTTGCATCTGCTAAATTTTGTCTAACTTATGTCTAGACGTTAAATGTGGCATGTTTTCAGATAAATCCTACACATCTATCACCACTAGCGATGAACGTAATCGTTATAAGCCACGTCCCGTGTTAACTCGTCAAAAAACATCAAAACTACGTTTTATTCCTTCCATAGAGCTTAGACATTCATCAGGTAAATTTCCCGTATCAGTCCTTTTTAAGTATGCTCATTTACTGATTCTTATACCTATCGCACTAATTTTCGCTCTCGCTATGCTGCATATATTGCATGATTGAACTATACCTATAAACTAAAATAAAACTTTAAACTTATATCGATAAAACAAATTTTATGTAATTTTTTTTTGTCGTATGATTTACTCACTGATAGAGATGCTCAACGTATACAATGGCCTAACGATGTTTTGAAAAACGTTTGAAAGATATGAAAATGATTTCTTGGTTCTTTCAAAAAGTTTAGACATGATACTACTTTAAGCCTGCACCACTAGATGACGAGCACATTTATCTGTACATCTGCAAGTGACAAAGTCAAAATAAGTTTACAAATCAAAAAATGTTAGGAAGCTAGGTAGTAAAATGACTGAAACTGTATACGAGATGTCTGAAGTTGAGAATTTCTATCAGAGAATATATTAATAGAAAAACTGCTGAACTTGTGCTTTTCTTTCTTCTAGCGTTGGCCTTTTGTTGTGCGGCTACTTTTCGCCCGCTCTGAAATATCATATACTACTGCTATATCTTCATGCTATAATCTTTCATTTTCATCTTTGCTCTAAATAAATATTCACTCCAAGTAACTATGTATATCTTTACGCCTCATTACTCTGTCCTATATAATACTGTCTACTTTCAAATGCATCGAAATTACACACGATACTCTATATATCTACTCTATATACTCTATATAGAAAAAAGTTCGTAGGTACTTTCAGATTAAATCCGTACGACTATTATGATAAAACCAACTCTCAAAATCTGTTCTATCCTATTCTCTCTATACTAGCAACTATATAAAATAGACGAGGTCCAATTTTAAAAATTTAAAAAAAAAAATCCGATTCACGCATGCGTCGCAAAATAGTGTAAAAATCGTCGATCCAAAATTGCGAAATTAATTCGATTTTCTTATCGCGCCCAGGAGAAACGATCACGAGCCAGCTGAGCCCCAACAGTCCAATGGACGACAGCTCGGGCGAGTCGAAGCCCGACAAGCCGAGGCTTCAGCGATCAATGGGCGCCAGCAAGAGGACCTTCCGTTTGCGCAAGAGTCGTCGAGCTCACGCGGAGGTACACACAGCGAATACCACAAAAAAATCATATTTTTTTAAAATTAATCATCAATGTCTTTTCGTGCAGAGCGCTCAGAGCTCGTCGTCGCGAGGAACGACGGAGGGCCCGGAATCGTCGCTGTCGCCGGACGATCAACCGACGGTTCATCAAGCCTCGCCGCAGCTGCTGAGCCCGTCGCCGCCGGCTACGATCGAGGAGTCGTCCTCGACGCCGCCCTACAACGCACCCTCGGACTCGTCCTCGGTCCCGTCGAGACGCGACTCCACGACGATTCTGCAGCTGCACCACCAGCAGCTGATACAGCCGCAGCATCACCAGATCGACATCGACATCGATCAGCCGTCGACCTCCGGCAACGGATCCCACGCCGAACCGTCGCCGCAGCTGAGTCATCGTGACCCTCTTCCCCAGGGTCACCCATCCCTCCTGCATCACGCCTATCTTCAGCTGCGACCACAATCCGACATCTCCTGGGACGAGGACACCTCCAGCACTTCCGGCTATCGAGAGTCCTACAGTCTGCAGCTCGTCTCTCTGGAGAGCAGCAACGGCAACAATCATCCCAACGGCGGCGGCAGCAGCAGCAACAACAACGCCCCGCCGCTGGCCTCGCCGGATCTGCCCTCGTCCAGCAGCACGACCACCAATTACATGGCCTTCGACGGCAGCTCGCCCGAGAACTCGATCAACAGCAACGGCGGCGAGCGTCAGGCCCTCCTCACTCAGTCCTCGCAGCGCACCAATTCGCAGCACTCGCTGCTCATGGGCACCGCCGGCACCGGCACCGGCACCGGTACGGCGGGTAACGGCAGTACCACCACGACCACCACTCAGGACGAGGATACGCTGATTTGATGGAGGAAGTCGAGTTGTTGAGACGATGAAACGATAATTATTATATGCCTCGTGCGATTTTAATATATGGATTTTTAGCATTTTTTAATATTGTTTTTAGTATCATTATTGAATGAATATTTATATATTATATATATTATATATATTATCGATGTTATGTGAAAGTAGTTGAGTATGTGTATATACAATATTATATAATGTATGTTGAATCATCAATACAAGTATATTGTGAGGACTCACTGTGACGAGTCCAACCGAAAAATTTTATAAAAAAAGCAATAATTCACAACTTCTAAATGGACAAGAAAAAACATCAAAGATTATTATATATCTATATACAATTTTAAACGTGTCTCTCTGTAATAGAATTCATATTTATTTTACGATGACGAGAATAAAGCTAATCGATTGTTTTCAAAAAAAAAAAAAAAAAATACGATCGTCAATAATTCTTGAGATAATTTCCCTTGCCGTTCTTGATGGGCGCGTGCCTCGGCAGATCGAGGCTGAGATCCGCCACGACGTAGGCCACAGCGGCGAACAGCGCCGTGCCCCGGTCCAGCGCCTGGGGATTCTCCAGCGACATGGTGTCGGCCTGGGTGTGATGATACCAGAAGTAGCGATCGTTCTGGTTCCAGAGCGAGGCGCCGGGCACGCCCGAGTTGACCCACTCCTCGATGTCGGGGCCGGCCTGGGGCGTGCGGATGTCCAGCGGGCCCATGCCCGGCACGAGGCCGAGGATCTTTTCCAGGATGCACTTGACGGTGGAGGTGCCGGTGACCTCGAGACCCAACGGATTGAAGGTACCGATGTCGGACTCCATCACGAGCTGCAGATTGCTCTCGTTGGCCTTGTGCGCCTGGACGTACTGCGACGCGCCGATCATGCCGAACTCCTCGGCCGTCCACATGATCGATCTATAATGAGAAAAAAAGAGCAACGTTGGCGTGATCCATTTGAATTTAGCACTCTGTTTGGATGAAAATTTGACCGGAAATCCAACTCGATTAGACTCGATAATTCAGCTTGAATTTAAATTATAAAGCTGAAATTTTTACCTGAAAATCTTGCTCGATAAAAATTATTAATCATTTCAAATGAAAGAAATGTAATCTTAAAGGAAACATACACCTGCAAACTAAAGAAATTTATATTTTTCCGAAGATTTATTTTCAATGGAAAAAAAAGTAAAATGTATGAATTTTTTTTTCTTTTTCAGTGGTATCGTATCTTCTGTTACCATTGTTTTCTCGAAACAACGCTTTTCAAGTTCACCCACGCGAATTAGGAAAAATCATTAATTATATTGTTCTAAAATTTTAGTATAATACTCCTTATATTTTTCTGCTTAGAATTAACTAAAATGGAAGAATTTACACAATGTTCTCAGAGTAATATAATAATTTTCGAAAAAAAAATTTCTCGGAGGAATCGTCACCAAGTTAGAGTTTTAAATTATATAAATTATATCAAATATTGTAAGAATAATGTATAAACAAATAAATCGGTAATTCTGTTGTAAGCAATACGATCATAAACGATTTTAACCTCAACCCTCAACACACTGATCATGTTTACAGTAAAAATAAATTAATTTGAATGTTGTCTTTCCCAGCGGAACAAGCCATAACACCAAAAGATTTTAATCATTAAGTTTTTGTGACACTCAATTGAAGGATCAGTTTAGGCACCAAAATGGAAAAAAGTGAGGAGAAAATCAAAGAAATTGTGTCTAAAGATAATTCAAGTGAACGCAAAATTGTTGCTTCAAACGACAAAAAGTACGTTTGTGACATTTGTCAGGAGGCATTTACATTGGAATCAAGCATCATAACACACCGAAATACAATTCACAATAAGCATGAAAATTTCGCATGCGACAAGTGCGAGAAGAAATTTGTGAAAAAATCGAGTTTATTCACGCACAAAAAATTGGTACACAAAGATCACCATGATTTCACATGCAACAAGTGTGAGAGGAAATTTGAAAATAAATCCTCTTTGCTCAAGCATAAAAAAATATTTCACGAAGTTTTCAAAAATTACTTGTGTGAAATGTGTGCCAAGAGATTTGACAATAAACATAGTTTGCTCTTGCATATAAAAACATCCCATGAGCACCAAAAGACAGTTCACGAAAAAAGAAGATTTCATTTGATCAGGCACCAAAATTCAGTGCACGAAAGTAACAAAGATTTTGCATGCGACAAGTGTGAGAAGAAATTTACACCGAAATCGCATGTTTTAATACACATAACAACAGTCCACGAAGGTCGCAAAGATTACGCATGCAACGGGTGCAAAAAAAATTTTGGAAAGAAAAACGATTTGTTGAGGCATCAAAAAACCGTCAATGAAGGTCGCAGAGATTTTGCTTGTGACAAGTGCGAAAAGAAATTTGGACAAAAATCAGATTTATTGAAGCACCAAATAATAATCCATCAAGGTCGCGAGGATTTCTCAAACGATAATTGTAAGCAGACATTTGGTGGTTCGAGTAGATTTTTAAGAAACCAAAAGACAGTTCAAGAAGGTCGGAAAGATTTCGCTTGTGACAAGCGTGAGAAGAAATTTGGAAAAAAATCACATTTGCTGAGTCATCAAAAGACAGTCCATGAACATCATAAAGATTTCACATGTGACAAGTGCGAGAAAAAATTCGCACGAAAATCGCATTTGCTCTTACACCAAAGGACAGTTCACGAAGGTCACAAAGATTACTCATGTGACGAATGCCATAATAAATTTGTAAACCGAAGCAATTTGCTAAAACATCAAAAAGTAATCCACGAAGGTCGCAAAGATTTTTCATGCGATTATTGCGAAAAAAAATTTGGACAAAAAGTGCATTTGATTTACCATCAAATAATAGCCCATGAGGGTCGCAAAAGTTAGGCATGAGTCAAATGCGATATTAAATGATGATTGACAATTGTAAATATGAATAAATATTTGTATACATATTTTTCTAAATTAAAAAATGATGTCATGCAGTTATTTTTCAACCAATGCGAGCAGATTTTTGTCTAAAATTTTCAGGTCGATAAAATTAATGGTTTTTCTGTTATCGTATGGTCAACCGTTTTTTAAGTTTTTCAAAAGTAATCGTAGCGATCGATACTAGGTGATAAAAAATAAAACAAAAATTTTTTGATTTAGTATAAGCAGTGGCGAATTTTAGAGCATGCCAATCTTAATTTTGAAATGAAAATCAAAATTTTCTATCATACATGTGTGTAACGATCTATGTACTCGATGACTTTTGCGGCAACTCAATGTTGACCGTCGGAATAGTTTTGGAGTACGTGGTTTTGTAAGGCCAACAAACTTCTCGAAGGAATCGTCGCCAAGTAAGAGTTATAAATTACTTCAAATATTGTGAGAATAATGTATAAACAGATAAATCGTTAATTCCATTGTAAACAATACGATCATAAACGATTTGGACCTCAACACAATGATCATGTTTACAGTGAAAATAAATTAGTTTGAATGTTATCTTTCCCCTTGAAACAAATTCATAATACCAGAAGATAAATTTAAATCATTAATTTTCGGAGAAATTAAATTAAAGGACAAAAGTTTATTTTAGATACTGAGATGGATAAAAATCAGAAAAAATACGAAGAGGTTGTCTTGAAAAATAATTCAAGAGAACACGACGATGTTGTTTCAAACGAAAAACCACACGTTTGTGATTTTTGCCACGAGTCATTTACGTTAGAATCAAGCATCATAACCCACCGATTCACAATTCACAATGATCCGAAAAATTATGCATGTGATGAGTGCAAAAAAATATTTGAGTTCCGAAGTCATTTGAGTAGACATCAAATATTAGATCACAAAGTCCGAAAAGATTTCGCATGCGAGCAGTGCGAGAAAAAATTTGTGAAAAAATCAAGTTTATTTACACACCAAAAGTTAGTCCACAAAAATCGTGAAGATCTGACATGCAACAAGTGCGAGAAAAAATTTGAAAATAAATCAACTTTACTCAAGCATAAAAAAATATTTCACGAAGTTTTCAAAAATTACTTGTGTGAAATGTGTGCCAAGAGATTTGATACCAAACAGAGATTGCTCTTACATATAAAAACATCTCATAAGCACCATAAGGCAGTACTCGAAGATCGTACAGAATTCGCTTGTGACAGGTGCGAGAAGAAATTTGAAGGTAAACGGAATTTACTCTTTCACATAAAAACAGTTCACGAGGGTTGCCAAGATTTAACATGCGATTTTTGCGAAAGGGAATTTCCAAAAAATTCCCTTTTGCTTCTCCACCTAAAGACAGTACATGAGGGTCGGAAAGATTATGCATGTGACAAATGCGAGAAAAAATTTGGATATAAGTCAGATTTGTTGAAACACCAAAAAACAGTCCACGAAAAAAGAAGAGATTTCGCCTGCAACGCATGTGAAAAGAAATTTTGTCGAAAAATTCATTTGATCAGGCACCAAAATTCAGTGCACGAAGGTAAAAAAGATTTCGCATGCGACCAATGCAAAAAGAAATTTGGGCAGCATTGGTCTTTACTCAGGCACCAAAAGATTTTCCATGAAGGTCGAAAAGATTTCGTATGCGACAAATGCGAGAAGAAATTTACACAGAAATCGCATGTTCTAATGCATATAACAACAGTCCACGAAGGTCGCAAAGATTACGCATGCGACAAATGCAAGAAAACATTCGGACATTCCATTTCGTTGCTCGGTCACCAAAGAACAGTCCACGAAGGTCGCAGAGATTTTGCTTGTGATAAGTGCGATAAGAAATTCGGACTCAAAGCCACTTGGCTCACCCATCTAAAAACAGTTCACGATGGTCGAAAAGATTTTGTATGTGACAAGTGTGGGCAAAAATTCGGACAAAAATCAAATTTGCTCACTCACTTTAGGATAAAACACGATGGTCGAAAAGATTTCGCCTGTAATAAGTGTGAGAAGAAATTTGGACAAAGATCGCATTTACATTACCACCAAATAACAATCCACTAAGCTTGCAAAGACTACGCGTGCGACAAATGTGAGCTGAAGTTTGGACAAAAACCGAACTTGTTCTACCACCAAAAGACAATACACGAAAATCACAACAATTTTGCACGCGACAAATGTGAGAGGAAATTTGTATACAAAAGTCATTTGCTCTACCACCAGAAGACAGTCCACGAAGGTAGCAAAGACTACGAATGCGATTTATGTAAGAAAAAATTTGGACTTCAAATTAATTTGACGAAACACCGAAAAACAGTCCATGATGGATACAGATATTACGCATGTGACAAGTGCGAGAAAAACTTTGGACAAAGATCGATTTTGATCTTGCATCAAAAATCAGTCCATGACGGTAATAAAGATTACGCAAGTGACAAGTGCGAAAAGAAATTTGGATATAAACACAGTTTGATCAATCACCAAAAGTTAATACACGAAGGTCTGAGAGATTTCGCATGCGAAGGGTGCGAAAGTAAATTCGTGGAATTAGGCCAGTTGAATAGACACCATAAAGTGGTCCAAGATGGTCGCAAAAATTATGCATGCGACGACTGCGAGAAGAAATTTGTATATAAGTCAAAGTTATTGAAGCACCAAAAAACAATCCATGAAGTTCGCAAAGTTTAGGCGCGCGACAAATGCTAATGAAAATTTGAACAAAAAGCGATTTTGCTTGAGAAAAGTGCGAGAAGAAATGATGATTGACAATTGTAAATATGTAATTACTAATACATAAATGTTTTTCTAAAATTTCAATAAAAACTGAGCTGAAATGTGTATTATTCGAACCTTGAGCGTTAAACTATCATTAAACCTTTGTTCATTAACATTTTCATTTTTTCAGATTTTACTTACAACTAATATTATTATTCTCAATGAATTTTTGTGTCTAAATTTCTTAAAAATTAGCCAAGACTCCCAAGGCTGTTTTTGAATCACCTTTTCATTACATATATTCACTTTCAAGTCAAATCGAGCTAGATTTTTCTCAACTATCAAGTTCAAATCTCATACCTAACGGTGCGTCTCGGTTTCAATCCAAGACTCTTCAACAGAACAGCAGCGCCCCACGAGATGAAAGCTCCGCCGCCGTCGTCCATGGCACCCTGGCCCACGTCCCAGCTGTCCACGTGTCCGGAAACCACCACAGCCTTCTCGGGCTCGTCGCTGCCCAGCACCTCGGCCACGACGTTCCTCGACTCGAGATCGGGATACAGCTTGGCCTCCATCTGCAGCGAGATCTCCAACTCGTCGCCGCGATCGGCCATGCGCTGCAGCATCGCCGCGTCCTCCACCGTGATGCAGGCCGCCGGGATCTTCTTCCAGCCCTCCTCGTAGTCCATCATGCCGGTGTGGGGCGAGTAGATGGACACGGGGGTGACGGATCGGATGAGGACCGCCACGGCGCCGAGTTTCGCCGCCTCGCTGGCCCCACGAGATCGGTATTGGACGGTCTTGCCGTAGGATACGAATTTCTGATTGTACACCACGATGCGCCCAGGAACCTGCGAAACGACGCGTAAATAGAATGGACAAAAAATTGTAAGTGGGTGAAAACTTACCTCATTGGCTCTTTTTTGCAATTCGGCGAAACTTTTCACGACGATGGCTTTGGCGTATATACCCTCGGGCGGTGTACCAACACTGTAGCCCAATCCGAGCATCGCCAGATCCTTCTTTCTCGGCTCCCAGAGCCTGGCCGACTCCTGGCCTCTGCGCGCGATTATTTTCATTTAATCGAGCTTTCAACAAAAAATAGCAACGATGCCAAAAGAAACGAAATTGTTCGTACCTGATCCAATGAGGAACCTTGACCACCTCGCCGTGAACGTTGTCCAGCTTCTTTTCCTTGGACCTCGCGAGCACGTGATCGATGGCAGCCTCGAGATTCTGGGTACCGGCGAGCCTCGAGCCGAACTTGTCCACGAAATCGGCGAGTTCGCGCCAGACGACACCGCGAAAGCTACCGTTCACGGCCTCGTTCACGATGAGTCTCACCACGGGGGCGTACGACTCGATCTCCTCCGCGAGCTCGTCCGGCAGTTGGCATTTTTTATCGTACTTGTTTACGCGCTTGCTGCAACCGCAGCCACCGATCAAGACGACGATCAACAACGGTAACAAACTAATTCGCCGGAAAATCTTCATTATTTTTGTAGCGGCAGCGGTAGCCTCTCTCGCGTTGTGTACAGCTGATCGATCGGCTCACGACTGGTGGCTGCTTCTTCAGTTCTTCTTCTTCTTCCTCTACACAGGCCGCCCCGCGCGTAAGTAACATTACGCGCTCCAGCGTAATTCGATGCGATAAAACATGACTGCATGACGGACAGACGGACGGGCGGCAGTGCGCGATGTCGCGGATCGATTAGAATGTGTGCGGGGGGAAAAAAATAAAGAAGACGAAGAAGAAAAAAACATAAATGCTAACGATAGCGATACTTTTTGATAAAGCTTTGATAAACGTGCGACCGTTGAATGCAGTCTCCCCTCGTTAAAAACGATGATTGACATAGGAGTAAAACAGAAGCGGTATAGCAGGATGAGTAAAGAATTGATAAGTCAGATTGCGTGCCGTGTGTGTGTATTTTTAATTTTTCACATGATTTATTCCAGCTTAGAGTATTTTAGAAGATAGAGACGTTACACATACGATTAAATGTATCATCATCAACGTAATCGTCAGCTCTTTGAAATTTTAAATACTTGGCTCCTTTTTTTTTATTGCTTTAAACAAATTGAACGATATTATTAGGATTACATCGAAAAGTATGCAAGAAGTTATAATGATCGACGATATAAGTTCAATTCGTTTAACACATAGCTCGTGTTTTTCCCTTTAATATATTTGTACACATCGTATTACATTCATTTGAATTTTTTTAAGTTTTCACATCGCAAAGAAATGTATATCATAGCAAGCGTTTCGTTTCTCGAAGCAGTTGGATACAATTATAATACGTATAGGCAGAGACAATAGTCAATATATATAATGTTTCAGCTCTCGCGCGCAACAAAATGCTCGATCGTTAGTTAGTTAGTTTCTTTTTGTTTAAATAAAAAATAAGTTAGTTATATATTTAGTTTGTCATCACGCGCGCGCGCGATGCACAATCTAAATTTATCTCTCTCTTCGCTTCGTTCGTATTTGTTTGGTAAATTGTTTTTCAGTCGATAAAGTTTCCTTATCTTGTAAATCGTATCATAGTTCTATAATGGATATATCAAAGCTACCCATGCGCGATGCATTTTCCAAGCTTCGCAAAGAGTTATTTTTTTGTTTGTTACATTAGCACCGCAGAAACATACACATATACAGTAATTATTGATATTATTTGGAACAAGAATTATTTTCGTTAATTTTTGTTACATTTGGAAGTGAACAGTTTTTACTGGAGCTCGACTCGAGGACATAGATTAAAAACGCTTATATGACAGAATATTTAAACATGTAATAAAAATGGCTGCAGTGGAATGTTTTACAAATTATTTATAAAATAATCTCGTTACTAAAACTACTATGGAGTCACTATAAACTAGAAAACATACTGCAATTTTAGAATTTCGATACTTTCTTCTGTACTTATGACATGTACTATTGAAAACTATAAACTGTTTACGTTAAACCACAGATACTGGATTAAGTTGTAAATTTGGAGAAATTTTTGTTCAAAAACCATTTATCACATTTGAGAATTTAAAAGTGAACTACATATCATGATCTAAAATATAATAATCGTAAAGATCATGATACCTAGGAAGTTGTTCTTTGGCTAAAAATAAATTCTTACATTTGCACACATTCTTTTTAATCAATTGTAAAAAAAAGTTTGTATTTCATAAAAAATTTGTTGGAATTAAAATCAGACTAGTTAGTATAATCAAGCATTAGTAAAGTCATTCATTAAAAACGAAACTCAAAAAAGCCAAAGAGCTAACTGAGAGTTTATTCGTAAATATAGTTATTTGATCTTGGGAACATAGCTCGAGCAGCTGCTTCTTCAGGATCTAACTGATTTCTGTATCTTCTAGCCAAAAATGCTGCAATCACCTGTTGAGTGAAATTTTATTTTTACAAATATTTAAATTAACATTTTGAATTGATTCTTAGAATACAGATGGACAGTAACATTATTTTTGAATAACTGAGACACATAAAAACAATAAAATTTTTATCAAAATCTGTATGCTAGTTATCAATACTATTTTCTAGACAATTCTTTTACAAAAAAAAATATATATTTAATTGTAGCTTATTATAAAAAAAAAAATTGTAACCACAACCAAACATTGAAAGCACCCACCATCTGTTATGATGGTCGTATAGAGAGACAGGGGACATGGCGATGTTGTTAGACTAGAGAAAAGCACTAGGATTAGCTCGCGGATCTTTTTGATTCCTGTAGCGCACTGTTAGCCACACACCGACGAACTGTAATTAATAAACAAATAATGTTGAATTTGTCTTAGATGAATGTCTCATAACTGTTGGAACATTTGAACAAATCATATTAGTACTGAACATTCATAATAAGTTTTACATTTATCACAATATTGTATGTTGTTTTATAGAATATAGGAAATAATGAATACCTCAGTAAAACTGAAGAATAATCCTATGCCTCCACAAAGTTTAAATGCGTAATCAATGGTTGATTGTAACTTTTCCATACAAGCTGGGCATTTGCAATTTTGATCAAGACTTCCAGCGCAACATATTGCCTGTCAATTCAGAAAATTAATCAATAAAAAGAATGAAAGTTGAATGAAAATTTTAACAATCAGTTATTGCAATAGTTCATATGCTTACAGTTTGTCTTTCTTCACACGTTAATTCATTAGGTTTAAGAGTTGTTGATACAAGCTCTGAGAAATGATCTGTAGTGGTTGTTTTATTGAAGCCACAGCAATGGAAAGTATTCTGAACTTGTTCTCTCAAGTTTTCATCAACTTGATTCCAACCCTGTAGAAGTCACATGAAGTTAATAAAATATAATCAAACTTTAGAACTATAGAATGAATAACTTTCTGATACATACGTGTTCAGCGAGTTGTTCTTGTTGCTTGGCATTCACAGCCAGACAAGCGCAGGCAATGCTGAATTGAACCAGGAACAACAGGAACAAAATGAGCATGTAGAAAAATAGCAGGACTTGATGATGCTTGACAGCTCCGATCAAGCCAAGGATGGAGATCAGAATGAGTATCACTCCGCATGCCAGAATGCCCTCGATGATGGGCAAATTGGCAACCAGAGACGACGCTTCTCCATAAACTGCAACGCTGATCAATATGATAGCAACAACCTGTGGAGTACAAATAGAGAGAATGTCTCGTCAACAAGGGTAATTTTTTAATTGAAATATGCTGCATTGATAAGCTAATCAAATATAGACTCGTTGGCTCAGACTCGTTAGAGCAAAGTACAGCATGGTTAATTAATACACATAAAAAATGATACTTACAATGTACAATACGTTTAGGGCCGTGAGGGCATTTTTAGAGCACGTAAAGCCTCCACACATTTTGCCTCCGACACTACTTTATCAGCGCGCAGTCCTACGATATCGATGACTCAAAGACGGGCTCACGACGGAAGACTTGCAGAAGACAGCGGCAGCGGTGCTGCAGCCGTGTATACGCGAGATATCGTCGTCGGGTCTGTCAGAAATACTGGTACAACATGATCTCGTATTATATATCAAGCTTTTGGCGGCCTGCGTGTATATACTCGAGATATATATATAGAGCGACACGAAAGAGACAATGATTCGCGCGAGCACTATCAATTTCCGAGTGACTAGGATCTTATCAATGTCACGCAGACATTTGTGTGCCGCAGTGGTACATACGACTACGACGACGCGAGATAAAATCGACGAGCACAGAGCAGCAGTCAGCAGCAGCAAAGCGGAGCATCCAATTTTGCGATTAGCATGTGTGCGAGCGAGAGGCTCCTCCGTGCGTGTTGTAGTAGAGATGTTATTGACTGCTACTGCTGCTGTGTATACATGCGCGAACGCGGCAAAGGCTGTCGACTGTCATGCAAGCAGCAGCAGAATTATTATTATTGTTGCACGCGTGTGGGTGAGCGGCTGCAGCAGTGGAGTCGTCGCGGAATAGGCGACGCGCGAGCGCGAAAATTCAAAGAGGACAGATGTCTTTCTCGGATTGCGGGAAAAATTATATTGTGAATTTTCGATCGAACTTAGATGGCTAATATTTCTAGAACTGACACCGACTTATTTTTGTATCGTTGCCTTTACATTCACACTTGCTGGTATTGGATGCGCCATCTAGAAGTGAGTTGGTACTACAATTAAACTTTACATATATACAAAATACAATAGTACTTTTTCAGTAACTCATGAACAAGTAGGTAAATACATATTGCTATTTTATACAACTGTTTTTTTGATGAATGAGGAAATTATTTCGCTGAAACTTTTCATAAAATAAAAAATTTATGACGAATTTTCATTTTTTCGTGTTCTCTTGAAGGAAGTGGTAACTATAAAACTATGGCTAAAGATACAAAAGGCGCTTTTATTCGAATGAAACTCATGAAAATAATAAGTGTATCTGGAAAATATTAGTGCAATTCACCATGAGACATACTAAACGTCCAAACTCGGACTTGATTTAACATTTTTGCCGAATTATCATTCTCGGTGGGCAAAAATTCTACTTTTTCTGAAGTATGTATTCCAAATATTTTATATGTAGTTGTTGTTGTTTTTATTTACAAAGGTAAATTAGTCTTAATTTTCAAAATAATAGTATTCAATTAATTTATATTGATGTTGCCCAGTTGGCGAAATTTTTATTGCATAAACTGTAATGATCATTCACCCGAAGCTGAGACTTTATTGATTTTTTTCGCGATAAGTGCAATGAAAGGTCTCTTATTATTGGCCTTTGACCGACAATCGAATTAAACTTTAAAAGCCGCAGTACCGTACATTAATTAGCTCAGGATAATTTTTTGTGCATTAATCTCTATTTGTTTCAGATCATAAACAAAAATCGATTCGGCTCGTCACAAAATTCAAATCATTATAAATCACCCTTCGAGTGAAAATCCGAGCTTAATAAAGCGATCATCAAAAATTAAATGCTTACCCTCGAATCGAATCATCGATATACTCGCGAATTACTCATCGGCGCCGCTCATTCGTTATATCGTACCTTACCTTTACCATTTTTTTTTTATCGATAACACGTCGCAACGACGAAACAGAGAAGAGACGTATTTTATCGACGACGATGTCTCCCACGATCCATGAAAGCTTCCCTCGCAACGGCACAGATAGCGTAGAGTGGATTGCGCTCGAAGCGTCAAAGCTCGATTCGCTCGTACTTGTGTACTGAAAGAACGAAACTAGGACGCGCGATAGATTGCGACGCTGCGCATATATACGATTGATCACATTCATTTATACTTTATTCGTATTATTATTTTTTTTTTTTTTTAAATATTTACAAACCCAACGCAGCCGAATCGACTCTTTTCACTCTCAAAGAGTACAAAAAATTTCGCCTGACTCACATCGTTGTACATGATACACGCATCGATCAACGACGCGTCGCGTACATGCGCGTGTTTTACAAAACCATCCACGCTCGCGAGTCACGCTCGTTATACTATTAATATCAACGCACAAAAAAAAAAAACAATAACAAACAAAAAACATCATCATCATTGACAGGTGCACTCGGTCACCCTCATCCTCGGATACCTCTTGATCGTGTGCGTCTTGGCGTCCTCGCTGACTATCAGTACGGCCACGTCGCCGTAGCCGGCCGGCGCGCAGCACGTCTCCGGCGCTCGATCCGGCCGCAGCACGTGCATCATCGTCTGGACGATGGCGTGATTGGTCGTGTGGGCGTCGGCGCTCAGCGGGAAGCGACAGCCGCCGGCGCAGTAGCCGGCCTCGAAGCCGTCCGGCGCCACCACGTAGTCCGGCATCGCCTGGAGATCGCCGAAGCGCACGTACAGCTGGTGCAGTCGACACGCGCCCTCGCTCGCCTTCTTTCTCTGCTTTCGCCAAGGGGGTGCTGCTGCTGCTGCTGCCGGTGGTGCTTTCGAGCGTTTCCAACGATCGGCAGAGAGGCTTCTGTCTAGAGATTGGCTGTTCCGAGACTCGTAGTAAGCCACGACGAAGGCTTCCTGGCTCATGAATCGCAGCAGCCTCGACCTGTCGCCTTTGCCGCTTCCGTTCAGCTTGAGCCGAAACACCAGCTCGCGCCCGTGATTCACGCATTTATCCAAATATTCGTATACGTCGATCGTCAGCCAGCCGCGACGATTCGCCTCGATCCGGACGATATCGATAATCGTCCACCTTCCACTCTCCACTGGCGGTTCGCAGTCCTCCGGCTGGTAAATGGATAGCCGTCGATCTCCGTCCAAGAGGGAGCCGTCCGAGTAAAAGTGTAGCTGGGCTTTGACGACTCCGCCGATCGTCGGCGTTCTCGATACGTCGAAGTGCAATCGATTTTTCAAATTGTCGTCGTCGAGCGTCCGTGCGTACGTCATGATAATGTCACTGCCCATCGTCGCGGGCTCCGAGTCAACGCTGCTTCCTATGAATTTTTTTATCACAATCGTTGCACAAATTTACACGGTGTATAGCCGAGTACACTTACCGTTGACGATACTTTCATAGATGCCTCGTATGTAACGCGCCGACGACGCCGAATTCTGTTTCTTGGTATCATCGTCGTCGTCGTCGTCGTCGTCGTCATTGCTCGTCGTCGTTTGTTTTTCAGGCAAATCGAGAATACTCAGAACGTCCACCCTATTCTCCACGGTCCGGTCGAGTCGATCGTCGTTCGCGTAAACGCCCGTTGACGATTGCTGCTCCTCCTCGGCAAAGATCGATTTTATCGTTGTCGCTAATAACAGCACGACGATGTACAGTAAGCACCACAGTGGTCCATTGGCAATTTTCATGGTTCTGCTAGAGACGAGAGAGAGAGAGAGAGAGAGAGAGGGTCACGTGTGCCTCGATATAAACACGACCGAATTTCGACGTAAACAAAAGTGCGCGAATCAGCTGTTGACTCGAGATACGACTGGAGCTCTTGCGTTTGTGCGAGACCTTGAAATTGGTCCCAGAAATCGAAAAAAGTTCGGTCGAGTGTTTTGAGTACAGAAAAAATAACATTTTTGAAGTACTTTAAAAATTTTAAAGAATTTAGGATCGCGAAGATATTTTATCTAATTGTTAAAAGTTGTAGATTCTTTAATCTGACAATTCCCAATTTGTTCTCGAAGATGTACCGATCGATGACTTGCGGTAAATTTCCATGAAATTACGTATTAATGCCCACTTCAAAAATTTCCGCACTCTTGTCGCGACCATTTTCTACGATAATGCGCTTGACAAAACTATTAAAACTATTTTTTTTTTTTTTTAAAGAAGATATATTGTTATTTTTAAGAAAAAGTAAAAAGAGACGAGTTATCGGTGTGTCAACGATATAAATTATCCTATCGCCGGCGTAAATCATGGAATACGGATATATAGACCATACGCGAGCGTTAAATTTTTACGCTCTCTCGCCTTAAAGTATAATTTTACACGCCGTTTCGGCTGTAAGTACCTTACAATCGCAATCGAGAAGTTTCTTTTTCGCTCGCGTTCATCGACACATCGGCATCGCTTATTATGTATTCTTCAATTTCTCGCCTCGCTCCGTATCGCTTGTCGACGGGACGATCGTCGTGTCGAGTGCGCGCGCGTTCGATAATGTGCATCAACGTATACACATAGGATGCACGCACAATATCGGCAGCTGCTCAAGGCGATGATACCTCGATGCAAAATCAGTGTGTGTGTGTATATTATTATATACACCGAACCGTGCGTATGTATCGCGCGCGAGACTCGAGAGCCAAGCAATAAACTCGTTATAAAAATCGACAATCGCTTATCTCGATGCGCCTCAGCGTATACACGATGCGGTAGCAATAATAAACATATACGATTGAATTTTCGCGCTGATCTCGATCGATCGGACGCTGCGCGATACAGATTTATTATACCGATCTCGCGGCTATGGAACGTGTTTTATCTCGTGCGCGATCGAGCCTTCGAAGCGAATCTTCTTCCTGGACTATTCGAAGCAGGCTTTACGAAGCTCGTTGCTTAATTGTAAGACGTTGCGGCTGTGACGGCTTTCCATCGACTTCTGGAAACACTTGCAAATCGAGTTCGTTCTTTTTTTATATTTTTATTCAAAGAATTAAGAGCGATCCGATACATCATGTACTGTCCGATTAATCTCTATTGTACGATTTTCGGCCGATATCGCGCCTTATTTTCGTGATAAAAGTGAAAAAAAAAGAAGAAGAAAAAATTGTGTACATTAGTCATTTGCATTAAATGCGACTCAGACACATTGTTCAAGTGGATTATACTATTTTATATTGTCGTAGTCGCCCGAAGCTCGTCGAGTCACGCGAATCGCCGCATTGTGTGTATATATACAATCAATGTGTAACATTATTTTAATCGTTTATAAATTCCAACGTACAATGTGTATCGTAGGCGAGACGATTTTATATACAATATGTATACGCATTCGCGCGATCGACCGCTCAATTTCTCGCGGTATATACTGCATTTACGGTCGTTTTAGGTATCGAGCGGCGGCATTGATTGAGATCAATTTTTCTCATTTCTTTCCCCGCGCGATCTCGCGTATAGTCCGAGAGATGACATTGAATATTCTGGAACTCCTCGGTCGTCGTCGTCGTCGTCATTGTGTCAAGGCGCAAAAAAGAGGCGATCTACCTCAAAGTCAACTCGTTTCGTGTCATAATTTACGAATTTAATCGATGATCATTGAAACTAATTAGGATACGTCGAATATCGACTGCGTAAAGCTTGAAAACTTGATCGTTAACTTTGAAGCAATTTACCTCGTCTTGCACACATAATATTACTCGGCTGCTGCTATACATATACACGCGGAAATGAAGTAAACACACCGCGGCAGGTACAAGTGCGTAAATATACACACACGCCGAAGTTTAAGCGATTCGAGAAGTTATATATATGTACTATATATATAAGGGGGATGGTGGGAGAGTTTCCACGCGCTTCATAGCTGCTGCTGCTGCTGCTACAGTTCGAAAGCTCGGCGCTCGTCTGCGCGGAGAGCCTCGAGCAGCTCCGAGCGATGATCGGTAAGAAGTAATGTATGGCCAAGGAGGGAAACGCACGCGCTTACAGCAGCAGAATACAATGCGTATACGTACGTTTACGTACGCGTATACAAGTGTGTGCGTGCCGTATAACCGAGAAGATTCTCCAAGACGATAAGTTAGTTTGACTGATAAACGGCTCTCGGGCTTTATAAAGCCGACTACAGGCGCATCGATACTTTCCATTCCTCGAGCGTCGCGCGTATATCGTGGGTTGCTGCTGCTGCTGCTGTATTTTATCGATCCCGATTTGATTTTTTTTTAAATTCGTTGGGATATTGTGATCGAGGATCCAGAGAGGAGACGTGTGCCGACGATCGACGCTAATAATTTCGAACGGTGTGCCCGAATGTCGTGTGACAGTGTATTCATTTTCTGATTTCTGCACTTTATGATTACGGAGTGATTTCAAGATGGCCTGTCATCCATAAAAAGGATTTTGAAAAAAAAGGGCAAAAAATTGCAAGACAATTAAAACCTTGAACAGTATAGTTGCAGAAGTCGGTAGTAGTTTTAGATCCTAAGAGTTTTTTCGGGATATGGAAAACAAGCCACGCACGAAACAATGGCCACAGTATCTGGCAGCTATAACCGGTAAGTTGATTCGCCAAATTTTTTCTTTTTCACGCATCTTCTCTCTCCTCTCTCTCTCCTCCATCTTCGCAACGTAAATAACAAAACAAAAAAAAAAAATAATCGTCACCCATCCAGCGACCATGTCCCTGGCCGTGGCCGGCTCACACATCGGCTGGACGTCGCCGACCCTGCCGAGCCTTCAGGAGGCCTCCTCGCACCTGCCGATCACCTCGAACGACGCCTCGTGGATCGCCTCGTTCTACCTGCTCGGCTCGATTCCCGGTAACGTCGTGGCCGCCTTCATGGTCGACTCGATCGGTCGCAAGGCCAGCCTGCTCCTGGCCGGGCTGCCGCTCACGGTCGGCTGGCTGCTGATCATCTTCGCCTGGAGTCCCTACGCGCTGTACGCGTCGCGCTTCATCAGCGGCCTGGGCCAGGGCGTCGTCTACGTCGTCTGTCCCATGTACATCGGCGAGATCGCGGACAAGAACATCCGCGGCTCGCTGGGCAGCTTCATCAAGCTGATGGTGACCTTCGGCGAGCTGTACGCCCACGCGATCGGGCCCTTCGTCAGCTACGAGTGGCTGGCCTACAGCTGCATCGTCATACCCATCGTGTTCCTCGCCACCTTCATCTGGATGCCCGAGTCCCCGTACTACCTGATAATCAAGAACAGAAGGCGCGACGCCGAGCGAAGCCTGACCAGCCTCAAGCGGTACATGAGCAAGGACGACCTCGAGGAGGACATGGACCAGATGCAGAAGACGGTGATACGCGACCTGAGCGATCGCGGCCAGATCTGGGACCTCTTCAACACCCGGGGCAATCGTCGGGCCGTCTTCGTCTCGTTCGGCCTCCAGGTGATACTCCAGTTCAGCGGCATAGCCGCCATCGAGTCGTACACCCAGCAGATATTCGACAACGGCAAGACCGAGTCCGAGCCGGGCCTCTCGGCGGGCGTGGCCGTCATCGTTTTGAGCTGCATGCAGCTGGTCGGCGGTCTCGCGGCTGCGGCGGTGGTCGACCGAGTGGGCCGAAAGCCGCTGCTGCTCATCACCACTTTTCTCGCCGGGGTCGTGCTCAGCATCAGCGGCACCTTCTACTACCTCAAGGACTCGCTGGGCTGGGACATGACGGGCTACGGCTGGATCCTCGTCACCTCGATCATCTGCTACGAGCTCATCATCGCCCTGGGCCTGAGCCCACTGCCCTACATGATGCTCGGCGAGCTCTTCCCGACCAACGTCAAGGGTTTCGCCGTCTCGCTGGCCAATCTCTGGGCCTCCCTGCTGGCCTTCGTCGTGTCCAAGATGTACCAGGTGATCAGCGACTCGTGCGGCGTCTACGCGTCGTTCGCCTGGTTCGCCGCCACCTGCTTCGTGGGCATCGGCTTCATCGTGTTCGCCGTGCCCGAGACCAAGGGCAAGTCGCTGCTCGAGATACAGGAGGAGCTCAACTGTCGCCGCGGCCGGCCCAAGAGGAAGAAGTGCAACGAGATGCAGATCAGCACGATCGCGTGAACGATTGCGCGCATGATTTTTGAAAGTAAAATTTCTCTCGTGTATTATGTATAGGGCCCTCCCCCGCGCGTACGTCGTTACAGAGCCGTAAGTAAGTTTTTTTTCTCAATAGCAGTTAAGAATCTCCAAGACGTCTAATTAATTGCGCTTCCCGAGTCTATGCACGTTACGAACGAACGATTGTATATTTTATATAAGCTGTAAGCTATATATTGTAATACGTACACTCATTTTTATAGCGAAACGATATACCCCGATCAATTGTATAAATCTGACACACTTCGTTTTTATTGTTTCTTTTTTTTTTTTATATTACATACGTTTAGTAATTCATGATGTCCGAATTGATATTTCATTTTTTTCTTCTCTTGCTCGTTGCGTCGCTGCAGTAATAGATTGTGATTTCTGTATATATATATCATCATCGTGAGGCGAGCAATGAAATACAAATCTGCGACATCGATCAATGTGAGACTGATTATACTCTTAACGATAATTTTAGTAAACAAATAAAGAAAGAAAAAAAAAGATGCTGACATTGCTCGGCAGTAAAATTGTATCCATGAAACCGCCTACTACTTCATTTATTAAATGTCTCTCCCAATCACTTATCGAAATTAATTAGAATTTCTGCATCGATACGATATGAATCACGTGACTGCAGCGAGTTGGAATTATCATATGAATAATAATGGTCAAGCAGAAGTGGCTATATTTAGCAAACTTTTATTGCACCATATACAAACTTTTTTTTTGCAAATCGCACAAGTGCATGCGAGCATTCACAAGCCGATACGGCGATAATCCGACTTTATCTCTGATTAAATATTTGTTATAATAAAACCAGTGCTTGGGTAAATATGGGCATTCGAGAAAATTGCAGAAAAACCCCCTTCCACGGATTTTTCTTCGGCAAAAAAACCTGGGACTTTCCTGCATACGAATTTTTGCAGACTATCGTTGTATCAAGAGCTATTTATAAAAATTTAATTACGAATTCAAAATGGGAAACAACAAGATATTAAAAAAAAAGGCGAACAATACGCAGCGCACCCGCGTGTGTGTGTGCTGCTGTTATACGAATTGCGACTAATTGAACGAAAAATAAACGGAAAGAACACATATGGGATGACGTTTTTCCTCGCGTGTATTGTGTGTTCTGGAAGATTCATCGATATTGATTTCGACAATTATTACACGCGCGCGTATATAGGAGCAGCTCTCGGTTTGGTTCTTTGAACTTGAAAATGCGTGTGAATTCAATCAGAAAATTAAATAATCATGTCAACACGTGTATTTTTCTTTTCTCATCAAATGTCAATACATACTCTTTTTTTTTATTTTTAGTTTACAATTCATCTATACAATGATAACAGTTCGACATATTATAATATATGTTAAAATTGATTTCTCAATTTACTCACACTCTCGCGGGTATAATATATTTTCCTTCGCACTCCGCGAAAAAAACAACAATCGCTCGCTCTCCTCGCACACATTATCGCATTCGATACATCTCGATTTCAATTTAAAATTTTTATACGAATATTTCGTCATTATTGTTTTTCTTCTTGCTTCTCTCTTTTTTTTTTCATTATAAGTAATAATACTCTCTTTACATATCGTTGAATAATTCGCGACTCATCGTCATCTCTCGGTCGCGTGCTTATGAACAGTTTACATTTGCTCGTTGTAACAATCAAGATTGGCACGGTGCGGAGATCCTCGATACAATTCACTCGCCACCGATCTCGCCGCCGATCGATTCGATCGATTCGATCGTCGCTGTTGTTGTCATTGCATTATATATTATTTCGTCGATAAAATTGACGATCTCTCGCGTCTGAAGTGCCGCTGCGACGTAATTGTCGGGGATAATTTCGTCAGGCGCAAATAGACACCCGTAAGTTTGGATATTATTAATTTTTCAAAATCGTGAAAATTCAGCCAAGGATAAAAAGCCGTATGTGATTACAGCTGCGCGAAAACGACACAATTTGCGCATTCGAGTACATTCGTTGTCTTGTATTCCGCGCACTTATTAAGCGATCGAACGCGCGTGTATCAAAAAATTCAATTGTTCTCGATAAAACTTGTGGGTATACAATACGAACGCGCCTATGAATTTATATTATTACGTATACATACGTGTGCGTGAGCCCCGCGATATCATCTATCCGCGCTCGTATACACAACGGAAAAAGAAGACACACACACACACAGCAAAAGACAGAGAGAGAGAGAGCAGAGGAGAACGAGAGAAAAAAAAATCCTCGAGTCATTTGTATCTTACACATTGGCATAGAATCCGCGTTGCGCGACTCCGATCATTATTATTACCATCGGATTTATATATCAGTTGCTTGCGGATCTCTCTCACTTTTTTTTATTTATTTATTAATATATTAATAGCCGCAGCCGCGAGCTCGTTATCAAATTGAGGGGGTTTAGTCGATTAATTGATACAATTATACATGTAATGTAATAATATAAACACGATGCCGTTTATAGTTAATAATATTTTTTCTTTTTATATTTATAATTGTTTGTACATAATGCAATTTTTTTATATTTATAAACGCGAGCGCTCCGATTTGTCATTGACTCGGTATTCCATGTAGGCTTCGTTTATTTATTTATTTTTAGTAATAACTCCTTCGAATTTTTATGTAATATTCTTCTTTTTCTTCCTTTTCCAATCATCGGACTCTATAGAACTTCGACGTGCGGTGCCTCATTCGCTTGCGTATATATATTCTTTTATATATCACACTCATTCGGGCAGCGACGGGATACACAATGAACAATTTTTTTTTCTCTCTATTATACGACTTTGGAATCGGATACGTGCGGAGAAATTAACTTTTTTTTATATGGTTCAACGCAGGTACTCGGCACAGAATTTAATCAATCGCTCATTGTTTTTCTTTTTTGCTAAAAAATAAAAATCAATCGTCATATGCTCTTTTTCGGGTTACGCACTTGGCGTCATCGTATCGATCGCGAAAAACACGCGTATACGATGCATACAAAGTGTATACGCAGAGTGAAATGCGATTCTTCGCTTTTACGTGGCGTATGTACGAGAGGCCGCGCGCGTCGCGATATCAAACGGAAATTGACACTGACATAGCTCGTAGTTTTCTTTTCTCTCTCTCTCACTCACTCACTCTAACCGCACAGGTACACTCGCTTACAATCATCACACACACACACATTATTGTGCATACGGTATATAGTCGTCTTTCTTTTTCGTCGATCAACAAAGTCGAAGATGAGAGAGAGATTATAAGCAATCGAGCTTGGAAAACAATTTTCCACGTAATACGCGGTATTGACTCGCGATTTAATACGGATATGATGATTCGCGTGCAAGTAGTTAACGATACCGTATTAATGCCGTCGTCGTCTCTACTATTTTACTATTTTTCATTTTAATTAACGCGACTTTCAACGATCATCAGTTCGATCGGTATAACAAAGAGCCCACCACACGCGCGAACGTAAGAATAGGAGAAAAAAAATTAATCAAGGGGCAAGCCGCGTATCTCGTACATATAATATAAGTAATATATAACGAGCGGTGTACGTTAGCCGCGCGAAGAAAAGATTTTTTTTTGCGAGTGCTTATTGACATAGATTGAAAAATTCAGGTCGCAATATGAGTACTGCTCTGCGCCGCGCGTCGCACATGTATAACACACACACACACACGCATACGCATACATGCATACGTAATACACGTGTTCGCGCCGTATCCGAGGAAAACATGTTTCTCCGTTTTCACCGAGCTGAGAGCTGCTATACGCGGTATATATAATGGATATGGGTCAAAATAATACTTTTTTACAAAACCGTGCGCACGTATGTCACCGATCTTGACGCGCTTTTGGTATGTTATAGTACATGGTAAAAAGGTCCCAAAAAAAAATTTTTAGACCCCCTCCCCCCTCCTACCCCCCACTTCCGGTATAAACGTCCATTTTCGATCTATATTTTTTCTGAGGACATGAAGCAAGTAAAAAATCTGAAAAAATTCATAAAAATACTTTTCCACAATCCAAACAACCTTGAATTTTTTCAGATTTTTTGAGTGCTTCAGGCCTTCAGAAAAAATTATTGAAAATTTCAAAAATCGAGATACGGCGGTATGAGCCGATGTAGTACTCGGAAATTTTTTCAGTTATTTTTCGCATTAAAAAACATAACCTCAATTTTTTTCAGATTTTTTCAGATTACCTAACGCACCTTTTGAAGCCAAAAACCGATTTTTTTGACGAAAATAATTTTTTTAGGACAGTACGGAGCCTCGAAAAATCTGAAAAAAATTTTTTCTTGTTTTTTTCATCAAAATACGTAATCTCAAATTTTTTCAGATTTTTTAATTGAAGGCGATAGCTTCTAGGGCCGAAAAATGCTATTTTTAACAAAAAATGGTTCCTAGAACCCGATGGTTCCGGTGAAAAAATTTGAAAATATTTTTTTTGAATTCCTTGTCAAATTTTAATAAATTTTGACCGTTTCAAAAGTTCGATTGAAGCTTCCTAGCTCATTTTAGAGCATCAAACGAGTTTTATCATTCCTTAATGTCTTCAGAAACGTCTTCAGATATTTTGCACTAATCTTTGTCCTGCTCTAAAATGAGCTAGGAAGCTTCAATCGAACTTTTGAAACGGTCAAAATTTATTAAAATTTGACAAGGAATTCAAAAAAAATATTTTCAAATTTTTTCACCGGAACCATCGGGTTCTAGGAACCATTTTTTGTTAAAAATAGCATTTTTCGGCCCTAGAAGCTATCGCCTTCAATTAAAAAATCTGAAAAAATTTGAGATTACGTATTTTGATGAAAAAAACAAGAAAAAATTTTTTTCAGATTTTTCGAGGCTCCGTACTGTCCTAAAAAAATTATTTTCGTCAAAAAAATCGGTTTTTGGCTTCAAAAGGTGCGTTAGGTAATCTGAAAAAATCTGAAAAAAATTGAGGTTATGTTTTTTAATGCGAAAAATAACTGAAAAAATTTCCGAGTACTACATCGGCTCATACCGCCGTATCTCGATTTTTGAAATTTTCAATGATTTTATCTGAAGGCCTGAAGCACTCAAAAAATCTGAAAAAATTCAAGGTTGTTTGGATTGTGGAAAAGTATTTTTATGAATTTTTTCAGATTTTTTACTTGCTTCATGTCCTCAGAAAAAATATAGATCGAAAATGGACGTTTATACCGGAAGTGGGGGGTAGGAGGGGGGAGGGGGTCTAAAAATTTTTTTTTGGGACCTTTTTACCATGTACTATAACATACCAAAAGCGCGTCAAGATCGGTGACATACGTGCGCACGGTTTTGTAAAAAAGTATTATTTTGACCCATATATATATTTTTGTGCACTCCCCCGGCTCACGCGCGACTTCGACGACGACAAAGACGATAAGATTGAAGTTTTGAAATAACAAAACGTTGCATCGTGTAGCATTACATCTATCTCCGCTGTTTCTTGTTGTCGTATCGAAGTTTTCAAAATGTATAGAAAAAAGTAAACGTCGACCTGCATCCGCAGAGCCGCCCACGCGAACATCGACAGCACAACATCGTGTATCAATTATTATTTTCTATCTTTTACTTTTGCTTTCGTAATTGATGCAAGCTCTTACTGGCAATTTTCGTAACGCGTCACGAGTAGCACACTCGATAATAAATCACGCTGTAATAGACAAGTACGGACACACACACACACACACACACACACACACACATCGAGTTTTTGCACTGCACCCGCAACGACCATTACATACATACACATTTGCTATTGTCTTAACCCGATACATGTATTATAACGCTGAGTAAGTAACATCGATCAATCCATCCGGTGTAACGGAGCATCGTATAGTTGACAGCAGAGCATGCGGCCTTTTAGTTTTTGGCGCATTGTACAAAGCAAGCGTGGTACATATACAATATTGAACATATATGCGGCGCAACCAACACCGCACCGCATTACACACACACACACACACACACACACACACACACTTTACACGAAAAAATGGAGAGAAGAAGTTTTGTAGGTATATTATACGATGCGCTCGATTTGGAAGCACGTCGTGCACGACACCGTGTTATTATTATGTCGATGCACGAGAAGATCAGTGTTTTCGCGCGCTGGAGCACACCACCACGATCACTGGTGTAAGTCAACGTTCATTGTTGTCGTTATCATCTGTGCGACCCTTAGTCGACGACACGTAGTAGTCGGCGTACTTTTCACGTCGACTGACGTTTTAATTTTCCACTGCTGCTTCAAGGCGTCGTCGTCGTCGTCGTAGTCGTAGACGCGTTCACAGGTACCGAGTGATCCCGATTCAGCGAGTTCAGTAGCTCCTCGTTCTCCTTGCGAACTGTAGCAGAGGATGCCGGAAAAAAAGAGAGAAAAAGAAAAAGGATCGATCAATCGTTATGGCTCAATTTACCGAGAGATGATGTTGTAAGATTGTGACTCGTGTGTGCAGTTATATTGTATTACATAACGTTACTATGTTACAGTCGAGACAAATGGATGAAATAATTTACAAAAAGAGTGTTTCGGTTTTTTTCTTATTGCGTCATTTTACTGTGTCAAAGTGTTATCGATTAGAACAAAAGAGTGATGAAATTGTGTATGTTTAATAAGTCACTATTAGTATGTTATGATTAGCTTTGCAAATAAAAACTACAAACTAAAATTCTATACAATAATATTGATTCATTGTAGATTCTTTAAAGAGAGAATATTGACAATTAACTGTTTAATAGGTAAAATCGTAATCTATATTTGTCGCATTTAGAGATGCAGAGGTAACTCCTCTACACGCAATACTAAATAGGTATGGCATATATAGACGTTTAATAAGTCATAGAAGGCTCCGCCGTCAAAGGGGGATCGTGCGCATTTCTCTTTAACATTGCACAAAGCAGCTTGACCGGCTGCCACCACCACTATACAGCAAACACATTCTATTATATACATGAGTAAATCAGCTTGGACAGTTTCCGGAGAGCTATATAAACCTGGGGTTGTTGCTGCTGCACATTTGACTTGTGACATTTTGAGGGAAATGAATCCAATTTTCAAACACGTCTTAAAAAGTTATATTATTACGAGCTTTTTATCGTATCGAAAAAGAGATACAAAGTTTTGCAAGTCCTCGTAACGACAGTGAATTATACGCGATGCGCAGCGAAAACTACGATCGGAGCAACAACGTCGTCGACGGAAAAGGTAATTTATCGTGTGTACGTTTTGCAAAAGAGAGAAAGAAAAAAAAATAAAGTAATAAAATGAAATAACGAATGCATCACCGAGAGGCTTCTCGTGCATACAATGGCTCTTTGAGAGAGAGCCGTATTAAAATTTACAGTTTTCTTTCTCGCTCGCGCGTTGCCGTTTTCCGCGCGCTCGAGCTGAAAAAAGCTCGACTACTACTACTACTACTACTACTACTACACCTTCTTTTCTTGGCGCGTTTATTCTTGACGTTTTTACGAGCTGTGTGCTGTACCTATACTGCTTGCTACTACTGCTATACGAGGCAGCTTTTGTGTAACGGTTGCAGCACTGCACCGCGTCGCCGCCTCGAGGCCGATTTTCACGCGGCCACTGTATACGTCGACGAGAGGGATGACGTGATGCATTTTTTGTCTCTCGATTCGCATGAAAAGGATATGTTTTTCTTTTTATTATATCACGCGAGACACAACGTGGGTACAACAAACTTTGTAACGTGCACATTGTTAGATATATGGTTGATTCTCCTGAAATCTGCTTTTTGCATGTCTTTATGCCATATTCTTAAACTAGTAAAGATGAGCCAAAACTGGCTCGGTCATTCATTCAATATTGTTGTATTCTTCATGATAGGACATAAATATTTCAATTTTTTAGGGTCAGTTAAATTTGCCGTGAAGATATACATGCCAAATGTCACCTCCGTGGCATGTCTACATCTCAAAATCAACTCTATTTGCATGTACCATGCATTCTCATTAGCACCTGACCCTATAATAACTATGAGACCAGCTTCTATACATCCAGAGTAAAGTTTAAGTCTATTATAGGGCTTTGAAAAATGTTTTAAAAAAATTTCCCACGCAATTGAAAAATGTCTCGGATTTTAATCATGCTTCTGAATAATTTCAAACATACCGCCTGCTTTGGGTCGCTAACTCATTTTTGATGTCGCTAGATACGTAAATGTCAAGTATTATAGCCCAGCTTTCGATTGGTGTAGGTTGCGGGTTCAAATTTTACATTTTATCGATGCTGCGATAATTATTCTATTGAAAAATTCACGTGTGTCAAAAAAACGGTCACCTCCGTGGACATGAATATCTCGAGCTATGATCATTCTTTTTAACCGCTCGCCCCGTCAAAAGACTCGTTTTTCATGACCAAATTTCGGGTTGTGCGGAAAATTTTGTGCGTTTCTTATTTTTCTTACATAGTTGATCAAAGCAGCGATTTGTCACCTCCGTGTGTGTCACCTCCGTAACCGAAAATAGTCGATTTTAAGCATAAAATCGGACATAGTTTTCGTAAAACGAAATCTCAAAGCCCCAGATTCAATAATTATTCATATTTTATGGTTTAAAAAAGGGTAAACTAGTTCGCGCCGTTCAATATGACAAAAAAATTTTCACCATTTTTTCGTTTTCCATACCCGAAAAAGCAGATTTCGGGAGAATCAACCATATAAGCGTATAGAAAGTTTTGGCAAAGGATCAACGTCGACACGAGCGTATAGCTTTAATTAACCCGTACAGAGTAACCAAACGAGGAAATCCAGAGGAATCTCGTCGTGTATACAGCAAATTTTACCCGGGCTCGAGTATACTCGGTTGTACGCCTAACTACTGCAATACTACCTCTGCTACTAGACTTTGCTCGATTGGCTTCAGATGCGCGTACCTATATATACATATAGCTGTGCGTGTGTGCAGTCCGTGCACTTTGAGCAACGTCGAGCAAATTAGTCGGGGTGTGCGCGCGAGCGAGCGGGTTTAATGCTGCTCCGGCTTAATACGCTCGATGCTGTTTGAATTGCGTATACATGTATAGCAGGTAGTACAAGTGCAGAGTTGTCTCTCTGGTATATAGGTATGAATCGTTAAAATACGTCGGAATTTCGTCGTCGAGCTCGGCTGTGCACGAGGATGATGGAATTATCCAATGGTTTTGTTTTCTTTCAGAAACAGATGGTTCAATGTGTAAACAGAGAGAGAAAGAAAGAGCACGTGCACTGTCAACTTATTATTGAGTTTCTTTCACATTTGAGATCATTTTGTTATTCTGGAGCTTTTAATCGATATCGAATGCTACAACTAAATTATCAGTAAAAATGAAAATGCTGAGAGAACTTGATATTATTGCAATGTTGCAAAATGATTATCAAGTTTCAGGCGTGACAGTAAAAAATTAAGTATTTCAAATTAAGCAGAAAGGCTTTTGAAGAAAGCTTGATCACAAGCGTCAAATTTACAATTTATAATAATTGAAATGTTATGAAAAAAACAAAAAATTTGATGCAAACAGTTACGATATCTGCTCAAGTTATTGGTCCAGTTTTAATACTAAAATCGTTTACATTCATTAATATATTCACAAAGATGTCAATAATCTAACTTGGTTTATTAAATTTGTGTATAATTAACATACTCAATTTCTTCTGGTCAAGGTTTGTCAATCCCAGAGGAAGTACCCTTTCTTGATAGATCTTTATTTTGATAACAAAGTTGGCAAATTACCTGGTGAGAAGTTATTAAACCTACTGATATGAATACTGGAGGCAATAAGTCTGGTGGCTTAGGTGACCTTACTGCGCTCCATGCTAAAATGAAATAGTTGATGCCTACGTTTGCTGGTTGAAGTGGCAGTTGCACACACGCTAACTGAGTGCTGGTGCTTGAAAGGCCTGCCTGGGTGAGTAGTAGGGTTGGCCGTTTTTAGGCTTTTTTCTAGAATCGCTTTGTAACAGTGATTTTCTGTTAGTTTCATGTATAAAATAAAAGCTTATTCAAGGCAGGTGCGTACAAATGATTCTTTCTGTCTCCTTAACGTCGATTAATATTTTTTTCGCTGTTTTTTGCTCAAATTCGCCTTTTTTCACTCTACAACGCGCCAAAAATGGAAAAATGATGTTTTGCGATTCCAAACTACACGATTTATCAACTTATAGGCTAATAAACATGGTTCAACCGCCACCTGAGCTCAGAATATGGAACCCCATAATGCGTATACAGCCGGGATTTTGGCTGTTTTTTGCCCATTTTACCCGATTTTGAACTACATGGTCGAGGTTGATTTTTAAATTCAACACCAAATACCGATACAAGAAACGCATGGAAATAAGTACAAATCTTGTTATGTACATTTCATAGTTTTTTGTTGGTGTTCAGATATAGTGTTTCAAAAGTTGTCAAGTTGGCAAGTCAAAAGTTGAGTTCGGAAACACAACGCCTTAAAATATCAAATGATGGATATCTCGAGCAGGCAAGCGAGCAATAGGTGCTTGAGCAATAGAGTTTCATGCGGCAATACGAAGTTTGCATGTGTGGAACTGCCATTGCCACTGTAGTGTTTACAACATGTGCAAAATTTAGATAATTGTATGAGCGCAGCAGATCATCAGATCAGACATCTATGGTATAAATTGGTAAATCATCAGCTGTCAGTGATAAAATTATCTAAACGGACACCTCATTATTGCAACGATTAATCTGACATTTGAAACAAGTCCAAATAAGTATGAAAAGCCTACTCATCCTACATCCTACTTCATCAAGAAAGGGTACTTCCTCTGGAATGGACAAACCTTGACCAGAAGAAATTGAGTATGTAAATTATACACAAATTTAATAAACCAAGTTAGGTTATTGACAGCTTTGTGAATATATTAATGAATATAAACAATTTTATTATTATAACTGGACCAATAACTTCAGCAGATATCGTAACTTAAATTCAATTATCATGAATTATAAATTTATTATTATTAAAAAACGCGTAAATTATAACATTTAATTATTTAGTAGATGTGCTCCTACTTACACGTATATACGTGATACGGTTTTATGGAAAGAGCTCATCGTGTACCGGGAGGAGAGTAATACATTTCTTCCTGGAGTGTATACAAGTTACATTTTTTTTTCATTTTATCATTGCAAACACATACAAAGAAATTACGTGACATCTTATGGTAGTTTTTATGTAAGATCTCAAGTAAGATCTACTGCCAAATCTTACCGAAGGAGCTGAATAAAATTAGTGTTTGTAGGCATCCTTGAGTTCTTTGATTGAATATGTTTGTCATTTTACGTCATTTATAATTATACCCATAGAAAAGCCAAAATGTAGTGACAGATT